TAATTTCTTGATTTCTTTTCACTAATAGAATAGTCAATATATTATAAATGTTTGTATTTTTTTTTTTAAATATGGTATTATGAGGTACATAGTTTTATTTTCGAGAGCTTTTAACGGCTATCATCTGCTTGTATTTGTGTTGGGTGTTTATATTATGTCTAAAAGAAAAATAACTTTTCAATTTAAGTTCCTGTCCGTTTTTTCAATATATTCCCCGTAACAACAAAGTGAGCTTTCAATTTCCACTACACTAAAATCAAAACGTTTATGACCAAAAACAGTTCTAGTCTAGTTATCACAATATACAGTATTTCAGTGTTGTCCATGCCCATATCAGGTCGTACGGTCACGTAGGCAGCAGCCACCAAGAGTCCAGAGCTGGGGAGGCATTAGCAGCCATTCAAGGCCCTTTCACTCCCTGGAGAGGGTTTTGTTCAGACAAAATCCCTGGGACTTTCAGCTCGCATAAAGGAAGTGCTGGCCTCAGCACGGCTTAATGGGCGAGGCCATGAGGACACAGCACACACACACACACACATACTTGCACCGAAACGTGAATTCACGTGCACATAGAAACACCACCGCAGATACACATATTCACAGCAGACAGTACGGACTGCGTTTGCACACACACAGCTGCCAGCTATCCAGTAATACTAATAACGGAAGCTTAGATATTAAACATTTATTTTATTTTGTTCAATTTCAATTTGTATTTATGATGATTGGTTCTCTGGGGACCATGAGCATCCAGCTAGAAGTATCTTATATAGGCCAAACTGAATTTCACCCTGCACCAATAAAGCGTTCAGAGAAATTGTTCTAGAAATAATATTCCGAGTATAAAATCCAGAAAGATGGGGGACACGGACATCGAGGAGGACAGTGTTTGAGTCCTGTGTAAAACAAAAAACTCAGTTTACTTATTTTGTTGACTACTTAACCTCCGTGCATTACTGAATATACCTAACAAATGTAGTTATTATAATCATGACATTTTCCTTAAACACAACCTAGTAGTTTTGTTGTCTAAACATGTCATAGTTTAGTTTAACCACGTGTTTAAAACTTTGAGCGCGTGCCCGTATGTGACATTTACACGTACGCTAAACCATGATCTTTTCATTCACCTAAACGAGTACTTATGTTGCCAAAAAAGAACCAAGGAGTTTTGTTTGTATTCACGTCAACTACTCGTTTAAATCTACGAATGCTCGTACATTCGTGACATATTGTGAATGAGGTCCGTGCGTTATATGCAAAAAAACACTAAATGCAAAGCGACCTTAAAAGGCATTTCAATGAGATCACGTTGAATAAACTCACAAACATCACCGTGGTAAGGCACAATCTTGTATTTTTGCACAGCACAATAATAACAGAGGGTAAACACTCATTGAACACAGAAGAAAAGAGATCCAGGAAGAAAGTGCAAACCATGACAGACATAGGTATGGTACAAAAAGTTTATTCAGTAACAGTTCTGTAAACATCTGAGGTAAATGAACATTTACATCAACATGTTCTTTAACAAAAGGTTCAGACGCAAGGCACTTCTCTTCAAAGACAGTTGTTTGACAACGGGAGGAATAGCAGGGTGGTTCTTCATTTTTCTAACTCGTGCGATTCTGTGTCCCTGCTTGAAGGGGCGCCGTGAAAATCCCTCCACATAACCTCTGTTTTTCTTCACGGGACCTTTCATTCAAGGCTCATCCACATCCGGAAAAAAGTTGGAACGGCCAAAAGTATCTCAATCAGTATTAAGGACAGAAAAGAACAACCGCTTTAGGTTCTTCTTTCGTCCACTCCAAGTCTAATCATATTGTTATTCCCATAAATAAACAAAAATATGTTGATATCCCTTTTCCAAGGACACCCTTTCTCTTTTCCATTTAAACTATCTTCATATCCTCATTACAGTGATCTATTACTATTTAACTGAGCAAATCTTTATCACCATATTGTCAGTACTAAGAACAGCGAGGAACAACAACACATTTCAGTGATTGTAATAAGTCCAATGACCTTTGTCGTCTTTTAGAGACAAAGGTCAACAATTGTTCCCAGAATAATAAAAGGGGTTTTAAAATGTCGGTGTTAGGGTTCGGGTTGAGGCTACCAAGCAAAGCTCTTTACAGGTTCCATCCTGTATTGTGAAATCTTTGGCACAAATATCTTAGGTTAGATTTGACACATCACAGCTAACGTGCTTCAGCTGCCAGATTCAGCTGAAGTTGTTTTTTGGCACCCAAGATTTGTAGAGAGACATGTAAACATTCGACAGAGTCAGCGAAAAGCAAATATATATGTATATATATATGTTTGGTTCATGCTGAAATCCTGCCTGAAGTGATCAGAAGTTACAGGGCAGACATTTAGTCTGGAGAGCACTAACAATGTTTGATAAGCACAATGTCCTCGGAAACCACTTCAACATGTTGAAGCCTGGACCTCGTAAATGCTTACCAAATGCAAAAAGAGTATTAACTAAAGTTTGCCAGCGACTGATAATAAAACTGCTTCCAAATACAATACAACGAGCGTATTGGCTTAGTTAGAGTTAGATAGGAAGTCAGTCACCACTCTCAGTCCATTCACTATCAAGCTGCATTCAGGAGACTTTGATAAGCTTCAAGACTGGAAAAAAATCCACCAAACTATTTCTATAAAAAAATCATAATCTTTGATAATGTGCAAAAGTTAATAATTTGTGATGAACATACATACATTAACATAAGCAATGTATAAGTTACCATTAATTCTAACTCTGAGCTTAATCCAAAAGCGTTCATAAACTGTTGAGCTAATAGATGTTCCAAGATGCCATGGGTGTTATTATTTATACGATATGTGGCCATTTGAGAGTCACTCTCAGATCTGACTTATCGAACACCACGGTGTTCTTTCAGGACAACGCCATGGGTTACTTAGCTGACAGTGAAACATGGAAACAGACCTGGACAAAACTACAACAACAATGAAGACCGTGAGATGTGGTTGAAGGTTCAGAGAAAGTGAGTAAGGGGACCTTGAGTTAAGATTATTTTTTTAAACTACAAAAACAACATTTTGTTTATTTCGAAATGTCAACGTATTCAAATCAGACTTATATTGGGTTGTTTTGGTTATGTGTTTAAATGCTATAGCTAGCACTTTTGTATTATTCTAGTATTATTCCAAGTATATGAAACCTATATTCTGCTCGGAGAGAAACACAAAGATATACAAACCCAGAATGATGTTCGCCCCAAACCTAAATCCTTTGTCCTCTTGCTAATAGGGAGCCTTTTTAATTCCTGAATGAAAACATTCAGAGTAAGATTTGATAAAATAAAGCTGTTGGGAAGTACATTTAAATCAGCCATTTTCGGTTTGGTTTATGTTTTTTTCTTTAGGCAGGAATTAATAAGAAGAACAGGAAAAATGAACATTCCTATGTGGGATATCTGTTAAGAACTGACAGAGAAATAAAAGTTTTTTAGATCATATCGCTTTCTTTTTTTCCAAAAAATCTAAAAGCTACAGTATAATCTAAGTCTAGAAAAATAACCTAGAGTCCTCCTACAGATCAGCTAGGGGCACTCGACAGTTCTGTAACACACTGCAAACACAAGCATCCCAAAGAAGGGGAAGTGATTTGTTCAAGCTGCAGAGCTTCAAACCGCTGTAGACATAGTTAAGGCGCTCGATCGTGTAATATAAAAAAAAAGACCTCAAGTCTTCTAACATTGGATTTTTGCATAAAGTGACCTGTGGGGCCAATGTCAGAAAACGCTAAAGCACTTTTGATCTTCTAGGTAAAAGTCGCTATAAATTGCAGCTTGAGCAGAAACTACCGTTTTTCAAATGTAGCTAGTTTCTCTAAAAACATCTTTGGTGCCTATCAATACTTTGAATATATTTACATATGTATATACTTTATAGTTTACCCTGATGGAACTGCAGAGATGTCATCTTTTAAAACACTGAAACATAATTAAAGGTACACACACACACACACACACACACACACACACACACACACACACACACACACACACACACACACACACACACACACACACACACACACACACACACACACACACACACACACACACACACACACACACACACACACACACACACACACACACACACACACACACACACACACACACACACACACACACACACACACACACACACACACACACACACACACACACACACAGCCTGTGAAGCCTAAGGACTCTGTCTCAGGGTGGGACCTCGGTGAGTCCCTCTCTTCATTGAAACTCCGGGCTGTGTGAGCGCGGCACACTCGTACGGACACGACGCACGGACTGTTCGGCTCCATCATCACGTCACGGTAAGAAATGAAAATAAAGAAACCTCTCCTCCGATGTCTCACAGAAAGTAAATAAAAGATAAATGAAAATAAAGGAATATAGTAACGCTGCCTCTACGCCCCCAATTTATAAGTTAGTCCAACCAGAATCATCATCATCATCATCGTCATCGTCACTATAACCTCTTCTTACTTGTGTCTGTGCTCACTATATATATATATATAGTATATTATATATATATTGCCGTGTGTGAAAGTGAGTTTGCTAAGGAAATGCTGATGGTATGTTTCAAGGATTAATACAAATAAATATGCTTATTCACGAAGAAGATCGATACTACTAGCTAGCGTTTTTATTTTGGCTAAGTTCTCTTTTTATTTTTGAATTGCCTTCCTTGCCTGCAGTTATTGATTGGGCTTGTTTATTGAACATCTATTTTAATTGCACGTATCAACTATGATGTTTGCCTGGTCAGGCCAAACTATTTCTATCTCTACGTCTACCTTATCATTCTGAGATTAAAATGAGCAGCCCCCTCCAAATGAATAGTGTTTTCTTCATGCAGGCATGTCAGTAGCTGGAGGGCATGCTTTCTATGTGTACACATCATGTCTGAATGGTTGTGTAAATGTGTGTAAATGTGTGTGTGTGTGTGTGTGTGTGTGTTAGCTACACTGCCAAGTCGTCGGGACGAGCTCGGACGCCGCCGCTCCTGAAGGCCCGACTCGGCTTCCGGATGTTCGGCGCGGGAGAAGCAGGAGGCGGGTGCATCTCCGCCCTGGTTACCACGGTGAAGTCGTCATGTAGGCCCATTCGAGGCGATGTAGTTTCTTCATCCACCACCTCCTCCGGTGCAAGGGGGGAGAGAGGGGTGTGACGAGGAAGTGTAGGAAACTCAGAGTGTTCCTCCCCATCTGGGAGTGGCGGGGTGCTCTCCCCGTGAGGAGAGGAGGAGGAGGTGGTGGGAGGAGAGGGCAGAGGAGGAGGGCAGGAGGAGGAGTTTTGTCCTTCCCGATTGTGGAGCTCCAGCGCCATGTTGCTCCAGTTCTGATCCATCTCCATCAGCTGACTGCGGCCCCCGACACTCCCCCTCTCGCCGTAAAAGGAAGTGGGCAGGGCCTCCAACAGGAAGTCGTCTGGGTGGAACTCGTCCATCTTTAGTGCTGCGGGCACAGACATCACTGCAGGGGAGGCTTCAGCTGGACTGTAGGCTCCGCCCTCCGCTGCTCCACCCCCCATCACGTTCATGCAGGAGTATGGGATGGACTCACTGCTGACCCCCTGCTTGACCTTCTTCCAGCCCAGGTGGTATATCTCCAACAGGTTGAGGAGCAGAGACACGCAGGCAACCACCAACATGAAGATGATGAAGATTGTCTTTTCAGTGGGCCTGCGAAAACAGACAGACAAGATCAGATTTCATTCACAAATGTATAAAAAGAACAAAATAGTATAACATAGAATGAATTAAATCATTTAACACATGACAAGAATCTTATGATCTTGTGAATTTGAGTTGTCAGGATTCAAGAAAAATGACTAGCCCAATTTTCATGGATTATGTGGAAGTGTGTAGTAGAGGCCAAGCAAGAACTTAGGCTGATAACTGGGATATGTTGGTCCCATGGAATTGGCCTGGTCTGTGCTCTCAATGTTTATTTCCAAAAAAATCGTATTTGTGTTACAAGGTATTCCACCAGGAATATAGGCTTGCATGTGTTTGTCATGCAGCAGCCTGGTCTCCTGAATATAACGTTGATATACAACGTAACAAAGGGGGGACAGGCCAGAGGATGATCATTTCAAGTGAGTGTACAAAGTCATATGATTTCCGTGGAGTACAAAATGTGGTTTTGCATTGCATTGAACACTCAAACACAAACTGTCTAACCTGGAGATGAAGCAGTCCACCGTATTGGGGCAGGGCCAGCGGCCACATTTATAGAGCGGCCTCAGGTGGAAGCCATAGAGGAAGTACTGTCCCAGGATGAAGCCCACCTCAAACAGAGTCTTGAAGATGATGTTGAAGATGTAGGTCCTCAGTAACGCCCCGCGGATACGGATCTTGCCGTGCTCGTCACGAATAGGCGGCTTCTCCTTCTTCCCACCACCTCCTCCTCCGTTACCGACTCCATTGTGATAGAGCGGGTCGTTGTCCTCCTGGTGCCGCCCGGCCTTTCTGAGCTCCTCCTCTCTCTCCCTCCTCTTCTCCTCCATGCGGACTATGTGCAGCACATGGCCCAGGTATATGAGGGTGGGCGTGGAGACAAAGATGATCTGCAGCACCCAGAAGCGGATGTGGGAGATGGGGAAGGCCTCGTCGTAGCAGACGTTCTCGCAACCGGGCTGCTGCGTGTTACAAGTAAAGTCCGACTGCTCGTCGCCCCAAACCTCTTCGGCTGCTGCGCCCAGAACCAAGATGCGGAAGATGAAGAGGACGGTAAGCCAAACCTGGGGAGGAAGGATGGAGGGATTAAAAAACACTGCAGTTAATGTGATCGTGTCATATTGATCTAGTTCATGAAAAGTCAATCAGACACCTTTCCAATCACAGTGGAGTGTTCTTGAGCATTCTCCAGCAGCCGCCCCAGAAAGCTCCAGTCCCCCATGCTTCACTCGATCTCTAGCCTGGATGGAAAACAAGAGTTTTAACTTTTAGTGTTAAGAAAAAAGGCAGTCATTTGAAACAACTGGGCAGTTTTGAGTAAATATCTCTCAAACAAACATAAATATTGCATTTGTTCATTATTATTTTCAGCTGTGGAATACACAATGTGGTTGCTGGAAACCCAATGACGGCACCAGATTGTGATTCCTCAGGGGAAGGCAGACTTACTAAAATATTGTTGTATTGTCAGTGATAAATCCATCGACCAGATATCAGAAGAAAAACTATCTTGATCTGGAAAGGAGAGAAAAAAATATGTGTTATATGTCATTTTCAAACATGGATAAAATGTCACATACATAGAATAAATATCACCAATTATTTTCATCTGTATGGAGTCACTTATTGTAGGATACAACCAAACTGTATGTTTACTGTTCATGTTTAGTGACTGTCTGACTGCTTAAAGAACCATCTCTATAAACAGATGCCTACATATGAATTGAGAGTATGTTGGCGACAGTAGAATATGTTGGTTTCTGAAGGGTTCTGGTTCATCAGGTTTGAGCAAGCATTGGTTGCAACAGTCTGTGTTTAGAGCAGAAGAGGCGTAACACATTGGCTTAAAATGCAATCTCAGGACTCATCGGCTATCGCCTGAGAATGAGCTAGTTGAAACTATCTTTCAAACGTGTGAAACATAGAAGTCATCTCTAAACTCTAGCTCCAAAGGCACGTCTCTGGTTGCATATCAGACAGTAAAGAACGACCAATATATCTTCTGGCTACACCACAAACATCAAAATGCAGCAGGACCTAAAGTTTGTACGGGCACTAATGCAAATAATATAGGGAGCCCTGGTACAACTGTAAGTCATCCTATGTGTGTGTATTTATGCATGTAAGGGAACTTGGTTTGTGCATGCCTTTCTTACTTTATCCAAATGTTAAATTGCGTACAGACATGCATCTATTTGTGTATGTGTGTGTCGCAGAGCAGGCTGGCTAGTGGACAATGGCCGGCCATCTGTGGGAAGTGAATGAGTGGATAACAGGTTGTCCCGGATGAATGCTGGACTCATCACATCCCAGGAATGCTGAGGAGGGCAAATGTTTGCCTGGGATTGACGGATATATACACACGTGCAAACACACACACTCAAATGTACAGTACCACACCAATCTGAAGCTATTTGTAACCTATGTAACATATAATATTTAAGGTAATCCCAAGACTTCTCTCTTATTTACACTCACAATAAGTAGATCAGAGGTCGGAAAAAGCAACAAAAGGAAATCAAATAGTCAAATGAAGTTGCGTTCTGTAATATTGCCCCTTTAATACAATAAAAGTATTTGATATATCTCTGCTTAAGTCCAGAAAAAGTCTGACTTTACCACACCCTAAAGCTGCTCAATGCTCAGTCTATGTGGACTGATGTAACTGTCTACTGAAACGCCAATCTAACAGTGGCATGTGAACATGTACATGATGTGTTGACCTGATGAAATACCATCTGTCAAGACAGACAATAGAGAAGCTGCCAGATGGACATTGTCCTGGCTGCCGTGTGCTTTTGATGGATCAGAGGTCTTTGTGCTAAAACAGCCCAAACAGTTAACTCTTGGCTTGCCGCTTGCACCCCGAAAACCTTTTTAAGATATGAGGACAGAGGCAATGCTCACATGAAACACTATTATGTTTTAATCATATAGCCTGATGTTGGTTAGATGCACATCCATAAACATTATAAGTTAGGTTTTTTAACTTATATAGGCTCACATAGCTGGTTTACACAAGGAAATGATGCTAGAGCTTGATAATGACTAACGGTCAACAAGTGCTGAGGAATTAACGGAAAGAACACGTGTAAAAGTGCATTTAGTGTATTAAAGGGTACAATATTTGATAACAATTTATTAAGCTGTATAAGGTGCGTAGAGGTGACGTAAGAAAATAAATAAGCTTAAATGTGTTAAAATGTGTGCAATACCACAAATAAATAGAGATGCTTAATGTGTGTAAAAGTACAATACAGTTTAAAGAAGCACATCAACAGCTCTTTAAATTTAGATAACGATCTACGAGGAGCAAGAGTCAATCAGGGTGTCCAAATGTGAGGTTTTTATCCCAGAGAAAGTAACATCAACTGAGAAAACAGCAGGGTGGTTAAGAGCTGCAATGCGTTATGATGGACATTATTTGCAAGAAGAATCATAAATCACCATTTAGGAACACTGGTTTTGAGTATTACATAGAAAATATTAAAATTACATATTTTGTACTACACCAATTCTTGGCTTTAACAACTTTGATGGTCTAGCTTGTTTGAGAAATTCCAAAATGACCAAAAAGATGAACACTTCATACAAACTCAAAGGCTAATTGACAGTGTCTAACACATCCTAATTTAATATCCAGGACTCCGTTTGGTGTGTTTTTACTAATAATTGGGATTATCATTGAAAACACAAAATCTCTTAAAAAATGTCCGAGCTTCTATGTAAAAAAATGATTCTAGGAAATATTAGTGGCTTCCTGTCTGCCGTCTTTCCCACAGGGAAGTGACCGCAGCATGAGAGGTGCTCCTAATCCAGCAGGTGGAAGGGTGATAATCCCTCCTCTTCCCTCCCACTCCACAACACCATCACTGCAGCCTCCACCTGCTTACCGCTCTCCTCTGAAACACGGATCCTCCCGCAGCGCCTTCCCTCTTCTTCTTTTTCTTCTTCTTCTTCTTCTGTTTTTACTCCCACCGGCGGGCTAAACGAGGAGTAGGTGAGATTAGAGAGAGAGAGAGAAAGAGAGAGAGACAGAGAGAGAGAGCGAGTTACAGAGGGAGAGAGGGAGGGTGAGAGAGGGAGTAAAAAAAGACGCGAGGCCAGTCTAGCGAAGGCGAAGCGGAGCGGCTGCGTCCCGCGTGGCCAGGGCCATCCGCTACTGTCACACATTGGTATCCCCGTGCATGGGGCGCACGAGGGGGGTGATGGGGGGAGGTGCGTGCTTTTTTGCGTGCGCGTGTGTATGTGAAAGAATAGGCACTCCATCACAACACTGACAAGCCTCATATAAAACTACACCGTTTAAAACTAATGATATGAATGCAGTGTAGGAAAACTTTAGGTGGAAGTACTAAAGTGTAAATATACTCTATTATGAGTACAAGTGATGAATAAAAAAGAACATACAAATGTACTTAAAGTGCCAAAAGTAAAAGTGATAATTATGTGTGCTCTACTTATCTTATATTATAATGCAGCATATAGCCTAGCATTAGTTACTTTCCCTCACTGCACTGAAGTAGTAAGAATATCTGAATTATCCCATACTCTTATCTGACCAAGATTGAGATTGAAATATGCAACAATGAGACTAATGAGTAAAAATTATTCGAAAACAACAAAAAAAGCAATAGCATTGCATAGCAAGTAACAAAGTCATCATTGTGCATGTCTCACCATGGTTAGTTGTTAGGAGGTGACATCAGTTCCTGTTGTGTGTCAGTGACGCTCAGGTGGTGCAGTCACCGTGGGCCGCCAGCAGAGGTCAACACAGGTCAAAACAGTAGACCACTCCATGCATCTGATATAAATGAGAATACAGTACAGGTTGTGTCCTGTTACATTGTTTTTTTTAAATTGATGAGTCACATGGTTAAATGCATGTTAATGGTTTTGACTGCATTTGTCTATATTCTGTGTGATTTGTTTGAAACTGTACCACTAAATAATTTGCAACAAAGTCAATCCATAGTTAGTCAGTTTCCCAGACAGGAGCATCCTTATTATCAAGCAGTGATTTAATCAAACAGTTAGACTGACACATAGTTAAGATAAGATGAAACTTTATTTGTGCTACAAAAGTAGGAAACCGCAAGTGCATTCAGTGAATTAAAGTTTTAACATACAATCTTGTCAATATCATGTAAAAAAATACAGTTTCCATTCTCTCCACCCCTTGAACGTTACACTAAGTATCATAGAAAATGTTCACTTTTTGAGTTGCATTTAAAAATGTTCTTGATCATTCATATGAGTACCACTTGTAATCATTCAGCTTGAAAGTCTTTGGAAGTCTTCCTCAGACTGAGACTAGTTTCTGAGTTGTCTTATTATGCATCCTCTCTCTGCTGGATCTTCTTTTTCTCTCCTTCTGACCACAGAGACTCCTGAAAAAGAAGACGTTTTCAAGCATTTAAAGACTCCCTGCCTTTTGATGACCAAGAGAAAGGATGCAGCACTTCAGACTTTAATGAATCACCTGACTGATTAATGCCTCTACCTAGTGACAGCCTTGGCAACAAGATATGACAGTTCAGCCATGTTGAGGACCATGCAGATAGAGGAAATGGTGGCCATGAAAACGATGAAGATGGTTTTCTCCGTGGGCCGTGAGATGAAGCAGTCCACCAGGTTAGGACACGGCCATTGGTCACACTGCACCAGTCGAGGCATATGGAAACCATCATACACTACGTATAGAGCATACCTGGAGAGACAAAGATGCAAACTGGTGCGATTATACCAAAACCAGTAATATGGCACACAGAAAATTGCAGAGCATACATGAAGCCTCCTTCAAACAGCAGCCTGAACAACAGACTGAAGGCGTACGTCCACCAGAGGGCGCCAGCTATTGGGAGTCTCCGTCTCTTTAGAGTGTCCAAATCTTCCTCTTGGCTTTTGTTGCTGAGGAAACTAGATCTACCTGAACCCTGTAACACAAGATGTAACATAACGTGATGACAAGATACAACTAAGACCCAACTACCTAATAAATGACCAAATAAAGCATGCCATGGCAAGAAAAAAGTATAACATGGGTAGAGGAAGCATAACGTGACAAAATAAAGCAGGAAATGGCAAACAAAAGTAAAAAGATTATACGATAAAGCACATGACAAGATAAGAAGAGACAAGAAAAGACAAAACTTGACAAATTAAGCATGAAAACTAGACACAAAAGGAACAATTCATTGAAAAAAAAACAGGACAAGATGACCCATGTCAGGACAGACGAGACATGGGCTGAACAGTATGTTTGTCTCCTGCAATAACAGCAGACAAATCCACACACCTCTAGGAGCCTCTTCCTATCACGTTGGTTCCGATAGGCCACATACATTGTGACCAGGAGCGGTGGTGTGGAGACAAAGATGAGCTGAAGACACCACAGACGGATGTGGGAAACAGGGAAGAACTGATCATAGCAGACGTTTTCACAGCCGGGCTGCAACACAGACAGACACAGATTGTTTCAACAACACAGATCAGTTAAGTTCATTTATACGTGTTGTATTCTTTCTCATGGGGGCCCTACCTGTAGTGTGTTGCAGGTGAAGTCAGACTGCTCGTCCCCCCAGACGCTCTCAGCGGCAACAACCAGCACCATGACTCGGAAAATAAAGAGCACCGAGAGCCAGACTTTGCCCAGGCTGGTGGAGTGGCGGTTAGCTCCGACTAACTGAGCGTAGAGAATTGGCCAAGACATCCTGTGGGGAAAAAATAGAATGTTTACACAATAATGACTTCGTATAAAGGGGATTTATGTACCAGGTTCGGCTGGTTTCTTTGAACTACACATCTGACAGCACTGAGGGAAATTGAGAAGGCTGGCAGTGGCAAGAGATAAAAGCTGCAGAGACAGGCAATGAAACAAAAGAGAAGTTTGAAAGAAGAAGAGGATGTGAAGGAATGAGAGTGAGAGGAGGAAGAGAGAAGGCCCGGTGCCAGACTGCATGTGAACTGATGAACCGCTCTGCCCACTGTGGACTGTACCGAGCCCATTCCATGAGAAAACACACTGAACACACTGTACTGACAGTACACTGAGCATCACCATTCACATACAACCATGGATTCACTGACTATTGTATGGATATCATGGAATATTCATGAAGAGTTTCCATTTGTTAAACACTCTCCAAAACACATTTATATGAATAATTGATGATGATAATAAAAGTCAACCAAAAAGAAAGAGTTTCTTTCTCACCTTGTGTCTGCAGAGTCAGGTTGTTTGCAGGAATATGTTCCACATTGTCCTTTTCTTACAAAGAAACAAACAATCAGCTCACTCTCACATCATGGAAATGAATTGCAATTGATTGTACTGAGTCTCAAATATTGAGAAAACACTAACCTGCAGCTCCTCCTTCCTTTGTGGGGAATAAAAGATACACATCCAAGTCTGCCAGAAGAGTATGATGAGACTTCCTGTGAGACTTTCAAAATAAAACCTTGCAGTTGGAATGTTTTTGTGTTCAACGTTTGAGCAGCAACGCAAAACTGTGGGATTTTGAAGTTATTTCAATGTCACTGATTATAGACAACTTTTACTATACTGGGTTTGTCACTGTGAACGGATGGTGGGATTGTTTTTGAGATATTCAGTGAATGATGAGAGCAGCAAAATGTTAGTGGAAAATGATGAAGAAGATAGTGGGCACAATCAAAGAAGCAGAGTTGAGATGCCCTGATTCTGAGATAAAAGATGAAACGACTGTTGGGTTGAAAAGACACAATTGTATTGGAGTTTAAGGTAGGTGTGTGTGAGATCCCTTTGTGACTGTAACAGGACACAGGTAGCGTTAAACTGACTTTTCAGGGTCCAACCAGGACTTGGCAGCGACAGGCCTCAGGACAGTGCGCTCTGTGTGCTGCTAATGACTGTGGCTGATGACATTTAAATTAAGACTTTTAGGGAGGTCAGGGGCCGTCGTGGCCTTCACCTTCAATAAGGCTCAAAGAGACACGTACCAACCAGGAAGAGACATAAAGTAACCACAAAAAAATATAAAATGACTACAAAGAGATCAAAACTATACTGCAAAGAGAAATAAAATGACTACACAGATGCACAACATGAGAACAGAAACATAAATCAACTAAAAAGATATTTAAAATAAGCACAAAAAGACAAAAAGCGACTACAATTAGACACAACATGATTACAGGAAGATACAAAACGACTACAAAGAGACACAAAATGACCACAGTGACAAAATGATTACAATAAAACTCTAAAATGGCGACAAAGAGACACTAGGCGAAACAAATGACCACAGACACAAAATGTTACAAAAAGTCACAACTCAACTACAAAGAGATATAAATGTACCTTCAAAGATTTCAAATAATGACTACAAAAAGACACAAAGTAGCTAAGAACAGTCACAAAAACGACCACAGTTAATATTAGTTTTCATTAATAAAGTTGGCGGAGTATTGGACAATGTAAAAATAGTATTGTCTGACTCACATCACTGTATGTAACATTGCTCTGCCATGAGCTGCAAGGATCTCCAGGAGCACAAACACGGCTAAGGTTGAGACAGAGAGGGCGTCAGTGATTCTAATGGAGTCATTATCAGAATAACACTTAGTCCTGATGCATATCAATGAATGGGTATTAGTGGCAAGACCGGACTCAAAGACCCACTGTCTGATCTCTCAGCCACAACAGAGCAAAAGAGAGGAACAGAGAAACAGAGGGAGAGAGGCTGGAGGATTGTTTGCAGCGGCTCACACAAAGTGAAGGATGAAAAAGAGAGGTAAATAGAGCTGATTGTTAGAGTAGATCCTGATTAGCCTGGACAAGAGGAGAACAGAGGGGGCCAGTGTCAGGATATACACACTACACTCACATATGTGTTTCCAAGAAAGACACACACACACACACACACACACACACACACAGAGGGGGAGCAGCATGTGACTGTTCAGTTCTGTTGGTGGACTTGGACACTTTCTGAATTAAAGTCTGCCAGACATCCTAATGATTTGTGCAATTTACAGATTATTTTCTCTTGAACAGAAAACTATTTGCAGGGTCGAATTTGGAGAGGATTTCTAGGCAGACATTTAATATGAAGAAGAAGAAGAAGAAGAAGAAGAAGAAGAAGAAGAAGAAGAAGAAGAAGAAGAAGAAACACTTTATTAATCCCTTACAGGGAAATTTCTTTTTGAGCGGGAAGATGCTGGCAAGAAAGCCCAAACAATATAACTTCTCATTCATACATATCTTACTTTGGAAAATCTAAACAATACACTTATTAATATAGCGGATTTGTAGATTCAATTTGGAAAATGTGTACATTTTTTCCCATTGTGTTTGGGAATATACTGACTGAAAAATCATAGCATAGATGTAATGAGGATTTGATACTTCATATGTTTAGTGTAAGTTATGTTGCTTTAAATTAAATAAGACTTTATTACAGGTAAATCCAATTGATTTCAGACTTTATCACATTTGATAATAAAGAAAAATACCATATTACGTCATCTTGTGCAAAATGATGCAGTCTTTCTCCCTCCAAAACAGTAGAGGGCAGTAACTTTGTGCTGGTGAGAGTCAGCTAAAACCACCGCGGAAACGGAAACCGCCATTCAATCGTTGCTGCACTAGCTACGAAAAAATATCAAAGCAAGGTGGTAGAAATCCGTTAACGTTACCTAAGTGCATTAGTATATCGACAGAAAGTAACAATGGCCCTAGAATCGAGGATCACACAAGAAGAAATCAAGAAGGAACCAGAGAAGCCCATTGACCGAGAAAAGGTATACAGCTGGATATAAAGTCTAAGTCCGGTACAACGTTAGCTTGTTTACGTTAGCTCATTAGCTCTATGGTGAGCTAACGTTACCTGGCGCTGCTAGCCAAAAGTGCTAACAGTTTGGAGACTGGTTAGCATACGTTGAAGACTGCAAACAATTAGGACATATGCAGGCATTTTTTTCCTCCGTGAAATATTATTTAGGTCTCTTCACCACCGGTAAATACAAGGTGATTGAATAGTAACTTAGCATCTGCAGCGTGCTAGTGCTAGCGTGCTAACGTAAGTGCTAGCATGCTATGGGAAGCTAGCAAATTACAGGTTTCTACGAAACTGCTATATTAAGTTAATAATATATTACTATATCAAATGTCATAACACGAGTACTTTGCTATATTTGTAGCTTACCTCAGTTCAGTTGTCATGGTGGGTTTTACGGCACTTTGTTAGTGTAGTGCCCCCGATAATTGCAGTCGTGCATTGGTGAGATATCCACAGGTGATTCGAATATTCACTGATTAATTAGTGGTGGACAAAGCTAGTTCAATGAGTACACTGTGTACAATTGAGCATTCAGATACTATCAAGACTATTAGTCAAGTTCAACACCTTCTATGGAAACTAATGGTATTACAAACTGTCATGTTATCTTTTCTTGTTGGTAACCACCTATGGGCAGCTAACTATCAAAACCCCACCACTGTCAAACAATGCACATGAGCATACCATATTATTCAGGGCCATCTTTCATAATGCACTGTTATCCCAATATTAATGTGTGTGTGTAATGGGTTCATATCCAGGGTTTCATGTCAATTGTTGTAGTGAGACAACATTGGGTTATTTAAAGGAATCACTCTATTTTAAATATTTAGATTAGTTAATTTAACTTTTCATATCCGCTTGCTGAAATCTAAATTGTTTACTTCTCTTTATATTGTTCATTTGATGCTTATTTTTGCTGCAGACTTGCCCCCTTCTGCTGCGAGTATTCACCACCAACAGCGGCCGACACCACAGAGCAGATGAATTTGCCCGTGGCAATGTTCCCTCCAGCGAACTGCAGATATACACATGGTGAGATTGCAAACTCTTTTATTTTGATGTCAATTGAACATTTGCCAATTTTTTAAAATTGAGATTATAAGACTGTGTGCTTTTCAGGATGGATGCTACTCTCAAGGAGCTGACCAGCCTGGTGAAGGAAGTGTATCCTGACGCTAGAAAAAAAGGGACCCATTTCAGCTTTGCCATTGTCTTTCCTGACCCCAGGGGGAAAGTGTACAGGTGTGTATCCCACTACAACATTTGTTTGGCTCATGGAGCTGAACACTTTCTTTATACCCTGGTGATTTTTTGTAAACTATATATTAAAACCTGTATCTGTCCCCCCTTACAGGTTGAAAGATATCGGCAACACTTTATCTGGCAGGAAGGGCGCAGACGACTCCATGACGTTGCAGTCTCAGCGCTTCCAGATTGGAGACTACCTGGATATAGCTATCACCCCCCCCAACAGAGCCCCACCCATCAACCCACGCATGAGGCCCTTCTGAACATAAACACCAACACATAATGTAACACACATCAACATAATTCTGTTTTTTTGTTTGATTTTTTTCCATTGGATGCTTTTTAGCTTCATTTTATAAAATGTGACGTGTAATAATAAAATGGTCATTTTTACAACGTGTCTGTCCTTTCTGTGTAACATGCTGGGGGATGCTATAAAGAATTTACTTTTTTTCAAATTGTTTATTAAGCTGCACTAGTATTTTGAAATAATCAGAATTGTATAATATTTAAGGCAGTGTATATATACCTATACCTTAGTTTAGTATAACTAACCTATTTGGAGTAATAATTCCTGGTAACACCTCAGTGATGTTTAACATTTTAAAGTTTGAAAGCCCGATTAATGAAATTGTAACTGCTCTGAGATTCTGTAAATTGGAAACTAGTTGAACTATTGAAGTGTCATCAACACAATAAATTATGATCAATTTACAAGTGTAAAATGCTGTTGCAGGAATGTTAAGTCTAGGAATTCATACAAAATTAAATCTGCTCTTAAACTACAAATAATAATAAAAAAATGTCTTTTGGCATTGCTGTAATATAACCAGCTCTTGGGTCATTGTTAGGTGTTGTGCGGATGGGCATGAGGGAGGATCTTATTTTGTTAGTTATAACCGGAAGTTGTATGGCTGCGCATGCGTATTGCAACATACTGACAGCTAGCAGAGAAAACAGCCAAGCTAGTCAACTATTAGCTAAAGAAAGCAGCTATTTTCACACAAAAACATACGTTGAAATGTTTAAGAGAAAACTGACAGCGTTAGACTATCACAACCCCGGTGGATTTGACTGCACAGGTGAGCCTAAACATTTCAAGGAGCTGTTTAATGTGGGTCAGTGGGCTAAACGTGGAGCTGGCTAACGTGTATGCAGATAGATCCTGTCACTGAAGACGACATGCCAGACCCTATTTATAAAACTTTTATGTATTGTAGCTTTTTGACTGAGATACCTGTAGGACTATTAGGACACGGTGTAAAACTTCTATACACCTCACACTTTTATTCGGCTTTACTTGCTTAATGTATTACTTTGGGTCTACTTTTTTATTGGCATATGTTTACTCTCATACTTTGTAAGTCAACTTGAAAATGACGCTCACTTTTAATAATTTTTGGGCTGCAAATATCAATTAACCAATGCTAATATGTAAAGTAAAATGCTAGCTTGCCCAAACGTAAATGTGATGCTCTGCAGAGATTGATCAATGTATTCAGTTTGTCTCTATTACTGTTATTCTACTGCATGAAGCCATTTGTGCAAACTGTCTCTCCTCTGCTCAGATGAGACTCAGTACAGAAACTGCATCGTGTGGCTGGAGGACCAGAAGATTCGGCATTATAAGATCGAGGAGAGAGGAAACCTGAGGAACATCCCGAGCTCAGACTGGCCCAAAGCCTTCCACCAGGTGAGACACTTTGACATGAAGAAAACTCCTGCTGTGTTGAGCTATTGTTGAGAGTTGTATCATGAATGGAGTGCCATTTCCTGTGTGCAGTACCTGCAGGACCTGAACTGTCCGTTCGGAGGTGAGCAGCAGCCGGAGGCAGTGGACTGGTTGCTGGGCCTGGCTGTAAGATACGAATATGGAGACAATGGTGAGAGGGCAGTATGTGCGTGTCTCCTTTTTAACTCTGACACACTGTTGCGTCGTTACTTCTTCTATGTAATACTGATGGTGACCAGCAGATGGAGACATTATAAAAGGAATAATATGTTCTAGTAATGCCAGCTCATCAGTCACAGTAAAGTTATTATTTGACAGTCAAATTGACAGACATTGTATTGAAATCTATGGAACCCTCCTTCAGTAATGGAAAGAAATACAATGATATCAACCTTGAAGTCAATATACTGACAACATTTCTCATGATAATGACTCCGTATCTAAATAATGAATTTGTTTCTTAACATAATGTCAACATTTCTCTTAATATAATGAACTGGTGTTGCAAATAAATGACTTGTTGTAGAAAATACAATAACTTAGTACCATACAAATAATGACTTGGTATAGCAAAATAATGCCCAAGTCTCCCAAAATAGTGACAAATTAATGATATATATCATAACTTTTGAGAAAGTTTCACATTACGACTTACAGTGTCTTTTTTTCAATCACAATCGCAGACATTTGCTCCAATAGAAAACCAAGAAATACATAAATGTTAAAATAATCTTTATATTCCTGGTTAGATTCTCACCCTGTTTTTATTTCTCTCCTCAGTGGACAAGTATAAGAACTGTAAGCCGCTGGCAGCCCCCACCAACAGTGACAAGGCAGTGGACCCCCTCCTCAACCTTGACGGTAAGTAGAAACACTTCTCTGCCCGTCCTTGCACTTTGCTTTCACGCATTCTTTCTCTGTTCTTCATGATGCCTTTGATCCTGAGTGAAAGACGACAGTTGTTTGTGTTTTTCAGGTGATTCACCAGATTTCAAAGCAGGAGTGACAGCTCTGGCTAACATCCTGAAGATACAGCGACATGACGACTACCTGGTGATGCTCAAGGTTAGATATGTTCTCTTTACTGTCTTCATCACTTAAGAATACTTATTTAATGTCATACTTACCAGTTTTCATGTACTCCTGCCAGGCTATTCGTATTCTGATTCAGGAGAGACTTTCTCCAGAAGCCATCACTAAAGCCAGCAATAATAGAGAGGTATTGTAATATTTTGTATCATATCTAAAGATTCCTATTTCACAAGTTCTTATATTAAAACCTTCCAATTAATGAAATATATCTGTAACATTTCCATGTGTCTCTGTTTCCCAGGGTATTCCAGTAGCTTTAGACAAGCACGTCTTGGGTTTTGACACTGGAGGTGAGTGTTGCTTTTGAAAAGGATTCAAAAGGAAGTAAGAGGAAAATATACAATCACGTTTTATTCATTTCAAATGCATTTTCTCTCAGATGCCGTTCTGAACGAAGCGGCTCAGATCCTGCGCCTGCTGCACATCGAGGAGCTGAGGGAGCTACAGACGAAGATCAACGAGGCCATCGTCGCCGTTCAGGCCATCATCGCCGACCCAAAGACAGACCACCGGCTGGGCAAGGTCGGCAGATGAGAGCGAGGAGGAGGAGGGACGCTGGAGGAAGAAGGGAGGGGCTGAACCACGGGAGTTTTAATTTGATTTTGAGAGGAGAAGCCTTTGTTGGAGTTTTGTATTTAATTGATCAGATATGAAGTAAATGCCAAATTTTCACATGCTGTCTTTCCTTTTTGTACTGCAGCATGGAGGAGTTTACACTACACGTTAGAATCGTTTTTGATTTACCAGATTTCCGTTAACATCTTCATTTCTTCATACTGAGGTAGAATGGTATGATCATCTCCTGGTTGCCGCAGTGTCTCCCTCAGTGGAAATGACACAGAAGCTGATGAAATATTCGAACGGTTATATTTGTATCTTTTGTTTCCAGAGGTTATTTTGAAAACGTTGTTGCTGTGCGGGAAATGTATAAATACAGCTGAAGAGATTGGCATCTGTGCTCCTTGTTTGGTTTTTCATATTTAAAGAAGCATCACGGCTGGAAATAAGACACACAATAAACAACAACAAAAAATCTGTCAAGTACCAAATCACATTTTATTGTTATAAATATCACATCTTATAAAAAGATAAAGATTTAAAAAGTAGTAGTAGTAAAAATATTTGGCAAAAAAAGATTGTAACGTCTTTTCATGGTGTGTGAAATACAGATTATGAGTGCAGAGACTGCTGTGATCTGACTGAGGGAAACATTACAATCTGATTACAGTAATCTGATTACAAAAACACTTTTCTGTCACTCAACAATGGTAACGGAACTTGAAAATGACAGTGGTATCAACGTCTCATCAACAAATGTTCTCTTACATTTAAAAATCAGGTTTCATTGTTCTGTAGCTTTAATCGAAAGATAAACAACTGGCGTACAAAAATACAGTAAAAAAACAAACTAAAAATGAGGTATAAAACAAATTTACAAAACATTTATTTGGGGGTTATATCTTTAAGGTGAGATAATGGGCTCGGGGTCAGGGGGAGTGGAGGGGATGTTAATTTGCTGACAGTCGATCTGGCAGCCACCATCCCTTTTTCTTCGGAGGGACACTGGAGACACTTCTTCAGGAGGTCCTACCATCCGATCGGGAGTGGGCCCCGAACTTTAGCACCAGAGGACCCTGCAGCTGCCGCTCTGTCGTTAGTGGCTCCCTGAATCACACAGGTCAAACATTAAAGGAGGAAAACTAACTCATGAGTTACATTCTGCTGGAATTACACACCTCCTTTTCTTCTAGCTTGTGGAAATGAAGAGTAAAAGGACAGATTTTCTCTTCCTGTGTGAATCCAAATGGGACAGGATGAGAGCCTAAGTGCTGCCGTGTCCTAATGACAGAACAAACAGAGCCTCCGCGCTGAACAAAGAGCTGCACTTTACAGCCTGTGGTGACTGAATTATCTCCGTAAAGAGCATGTGTGTTCATGCGTTCAACAATAACAGCTTTTAAGCCTCTTACAAGCAGCTCCCTAACCTGTAACAAGTGTTCAAGAGCCGTCATCATGGTCACAATTACACCACGCGTCCACGCTTTGAAGAGAGCGGCTGTTATGTAGAGGCTTTAGAGAGTGTGAGAGGACATTCACAGCAACACACAGCCATTTTGAGACGCACAAACTGGACTGTGTGTGCATCTCTTCTATCGTGAGCAGATTTTGACGCTCTCTGCAGATGTGTGTAGCTCCGACGACGACATCTGCCAAGGTGCTACTTTAGGGATTATCCTGTGCTTAGAGGGCTACTTTGTACTTTAAAGGTGTTTAACGCCAGGCTTTGAAATGACTCGGAGCCATCTGCAGACATCAACACATCAAACATGACACACACAAACACAAAATGCAGGCGGAGGGTCGCAGGCAGCTGTGTAATCACTGTTCCTGGGTGGAGGTGAAGTCACCACACACGGTGCAGGACGGCTGAGCCAGCTGTGTGATCACTGCAGGGTGATGAAACACCAACCTCTGTCTCTTCAGGACGCTCACTATTTACCTTATCTAACCTGATCTGATGTGGTTCGTTTCTCAATTATTTTATTTCATTTTTATTCCTAACTTTACTCACGAAAAGTACAAGCACATCAAAATTGTACTTAAGTACCGTACTTGAGTAAATATACTTTGCTACAATACGCCACTTGTTTTATGTTGATCACTGGTTTGGGTTTTTATTTGTAAATTGAGCAACTGCCACAAATCCTAATTTCCCCTATGAGTATTCTGCTTCTGTTTTGATTCACTTGAAACATTTAAAGATCCCCTCCAGACACGTCTTATAACTTATAAAAACATATAATGTGTCTGATACAGAAGAGAAAGCTCAAATACTTTGTTATCATTTTTTGAAATGGACAGTCCCTCCCTCACATTGATATGCATGGTCCTCGTGTGATAAAGCAAAGTGTGAATCCATATCTCCTCATGTGTCACCTCAAGTGTGTTTCAGGCTTCTTTCTTCTGTTTTCCTTCACTTGTACAGCGAGTGTGTGTTGTCCACCTCACTCAAATAGTTTCTTCTGCTAAGCAGCCCGTGTAGACATTGTTAAAGAAGTTCATATCTCCTGTGTGTCCTGCAGCTGTGTAGGGTTAACTGTGTGTGTGAATGCAGCCTTCAGGGTTAAGGTGACACCTGGTGGGAGTCGACTGATGTTGTGACACTGCACACAAACCAATGAGCTCACTGTCTGCTGCACCTCCAAGTCAGTGTGGGTGTGGGGGTGTCATTATATACAATTACACATCTGAGTGTGTAAGTGACAGAGAGTGATAGTGTTTAGCATTTCACAATACCTGATAGACACTGGGTGGTTGCTATAGCGATGCCGTACAGGTGAGAGCGCTGGTCAGGCAGGAACTCGTCCGTGATCTGACTGCTGTCTTTGTTCACTGCGATCACTCCGTCCCTAAGAACACAGACAGTGTGAGCAGAGCTTCATACTGGTCAGAATTAAACACACACACTCAGATATATGAAGATAGCTACCTCCTCCAGTCAGTGTAGTAGAAGTGGTTCCTGTAGTACACCATGCTGAACGGGTAGTTGAGGCTGGGGTGGACCACTCTCCGGTTGGAACCATCCGGGGACACACACTCTAACCGCTTCGTACCTGTGAACAGAGCAAAACAGAAACGTGGATCATCATTCTGTTATCCATGGTTTCTTAGATAATGTCTTTTGAAGCTCAGATATTAGAAATTAAAACAGTATATGAGGTGGCAGCCTGGAATATGCGTCTCATTTGAGTTTTTTACCGCCTGCTTACAGTCAACTAGATGCACACCCAAAGGGAAAGCCACATTTCTGATCAACAGGAGACACTTTCTGACAGTTTTGGTGGGGGTGTTTACCTGCATCGGCCCAGCAGACCTGAGAGGAGGAAGAGTCGTACGTGAGAGCGTTGGGCAAACCGATGCCGTCAGACACCACCACCTTGCGGTTCTGTCCGTCCACTGACGCACACTCGATCTTCGGAGCCTCTCGGTTCCAGTCGGTCCAATACAGAGTGCTGCAGAGAGGAAAACAGGGGGGGGGGATTATAATATTTATCACTCTTAATTTCAAGTGTATCCAGGCTGGATAAACATGTTTTTGTAGCTTTGCATTTTTTTTTTTTAAACCTCTGGGATCTGGCTAATATAAGGAGACAAGAGGAAAACCGCACACCCGCAAACACACACGCTCTCACACACACACGCAGGGTATATAAAGGTACAAGGGCACAGGGCCCTAGGGAGCAGCTGTCTCGCGCTGATGAGGTCACGGTCAGGTTACTCTGAGCAACGTGCAACCTTTGCCCCCCTGCAGTTTAGTTTCATCTCAGACAATATGGACCACACTAGCTGACAGAAATAGACACAATATCCAATCTCAAATAAAGCAGTTTCGGCTTATTTCTCACGGTATGTTTCTGTGAAATTGTTTTTATATTTCAAAAGCTACAAAATGTTGGACTGCGGGATGATAAGAGAGCTTCAGGCGGAGTGTGTGTGGGCTGCTGATGAAGCCACGCTGTTTTTCGTCTGTAGATGATGGTGTACATGTGAGCAGTCCGCTGGGAACTGCAGGTAATACACACCACATGAGCAATCAACTTACACACACATACACCATGTGTTTATGAGTCTGTACGTTAATTAATCTGAACGTAGGGCTGAGCAGATGTTTTTGCATTAGACACATGTACGTGCTTTTATAAGTGTGTGTGTGCGCGTGGACTTTCTCTGTGTCTGCTTCAATGTGTGTGGTTATGTCTCCCTTAGTGTATGTGTGTGTGTGTAAGGGCAACATGTGTTGAAATCACAGAGCACATGCTTAATCATAAGTGTACCCGTGTGAAGCAGTAATTACCTTTAGGACTTGGCTTTTTGTCAGAAAACACACACTCACACACACACACTCACACACACTTACACACGTACTTGGCCTTCAGTCAGACTGTAAACGTTCAAACCAATAATGTGAAACACACATTAGAAGTTTTATGATTTGGGTTATTGCTTCGATGTTTAATCATTTGTATCAACCGCAATAACACACACACACACACACACGCACGGTTTCTCTCTCAGACAAAAACACATGCACACAGAGACACACACAATAACACATGCATACCTGTTTATTATGTGATTAGTTGCAATGACGAAAAGCAGATGTTATTCCTGTTAGTCTGAAAGATGTGTGTGTGTAGGATTAATAGCATCAGTAAATGTACAGTTTTCTTGGAACAGTTTGGTGCTACACTATAATTAACTTCTATGACAGATTATCAAACATGTGTTTTTAAAGGGACACTCCGCCCGTCCTTGTTCCTGCGAGCGTCTGTCTCACTCTGATGAAGTCAACAGGAATTTCTGCCGAATAGCTTTACATATAACAGGCATTGTACTAATGAATGAGACACAGGCCTGTCTGAGGACTTTAATGTGTTTGTCATGGCTGATGGTCTGAAACCATCTGTGCGTTCCGCTGCTCATGTGCAGTGCAGTCTCACTGGGCCTCTGTGGAGCACCTCCAGGATGTTACACTTGATCGTGAAGAGAGTGTGTGGGAGTTTGTTTGATTCTTGCTCAGGGAAGAGATTTGTACATGTTTGCAAATCCAGAATAAACCGTCCCAAGGCTTTAGAAGTGCAGCTTTTGTAAGTTGAATAGCTGGTGTTTGTGAGTTGCCAAAAGAGAACAATAGAAGCTGGTGTTTACCCAGTGGAAGAGACCACTATGATGGCTCGAGGGTTGACCAAGTTGGAGTCAAACAGCGTCCGCCTCCCGCTGCCGTCCAGGTTGGCTCTCTCGATCATGTCGGGGTTCGAGTCGACCCAGAACATCAACCTGCGCTTTTCATCCACAGCCAAACCCTCGGGACTGACCAGATCTACACAGAGCAGAGAGGGTTTAGAAATCATTTAAAACATGCAACTGATATAAAAGAAATGAAGGAGTGTAGGTGTTGGTTCTTACTCGCGTTAATGAGGATCTCTGGCTCGGCACCGGCCGCAATCGAAGCTCTGTTGATTGTCCTTGCAGACAAATCTGTCCAATAGACCTGGTTGTCTTTGCAGTCGTAGGCTAAGCCAACAACTATGGAACCCTGGACACACACATATGAATATGAGCATAGAGAGATAAGAGGCTTTCAAAATGGGAAATAATGTCAATATTTTTGCAAAACAATGTTGTAATGATCTACGTTTAACTAAGAAAATAGATAACAGAAGTAAAAATAGAATCAAATCTGGCTATATTCATCCCTTACATGTAGAGTCAGTAGTGTTTTGGAGCGGGCTCCATCCAGTCTGGTCCCGTTGAGAGGCAGCGCTCCTATCTTCTGTCCCTGAGCGTACAGCAGTGTGATGTCAGTGTTTGGCGGAGGCGTCACATCTGGGCGGGGCAAGGGGCGCACGGTGGGCGGGGCCACTGAGGGAAGGCCTGGGACAAGAGTGGATTGGTTAAAAAAAAGCCACGATTGGTTGGAAAATCAGTTATTTTGACCACATATAAACATACAGGTAGAAAGATGCTTACATGCAGGTTTGACCACATCATGTGATCGGGTTCCAGGAACCTCGCGCCCGTCCTGGTCCACACACCAGCAGTACGTAGTATCTCCGTAACACTGGACTGGACTGAGAGACAATTTGCTTTCATTAGTAATTTGTCATTAAAATAAACAATTTCATCTGCTGTTTTTTCTTTCTGTGGCGTGTACCTGAACTGTCCGTCCGACTCGCACTGAGGCACGTATTGTTGAGCCCCTGGTTTTCCACCATAGTGCTCAATCAAACTGGTCCTCCATCGCTCACACACACTCTCGGGGCGCTGGGTCGGAGCCACGGGGCCTGCAAACAAACAAACCCAATTATGTAAATGTTTTTAAAGTTACATTTAATTCTACATTGTTGTAAAATTACAATTGAGATCACATTCTGCTGTAACTTGTTTGTTTTCAAGCTCACACACACATCTTGCTTTTGTCAATACTGTTTACCTTGTAAAATCTCTTTAATAACTCACTTTATAGGAGAGCTTTAAAAGTAAACCTGAAACCACTTAAGGCCTCCACTAATGTTTATACTGGCCCCTCTCTGGCCCTCTGTGCATTTCCAATGTGAGAGTGCAGTTGCTGCACTAAGGAGATGAGATTAATATGTGAAAGGACAGTGAGAATAGCTTTATTGTGAGAGTGAAGAGAGGTAGAATAATACTGACTGAACTATTAGAATGATGTTTTTCCAGCAGGATGTATTGCAATCCAGTCGTATGATTCACTTGGTTTTACTTCAATTTACTGTTTGACCACATGACGTTCTTCCCAGAAATCAACAGCATGTGGACTGTCCAGTAAGTCAATGATATTTCAACTTAGGGCTGACTTAGTGTGTTGGCAGTGAGCTGTATCACTTATGTGGGCACACACATTCACAAGTTTAATGTCTATGTTTGCCTGCATCACGTAAACTTCTAAATTTGGTACAGATGTAATTTAAGAATCCATCTGAAATTGTCAAATTATGGGTTTCCGTTCATGCAAATCATGTTTCTGGGTTCCTCTCCTGATTTGGAGCAGAGGATATGAATGTGAGCAGGAAATGCGCTCGCCTCCCTCATCATGGACTATTACAGAAGAATCCCTGTGCAGCGGCCTGTGGTCGTGCTGTGCAGCTTCCAGGTGGGAATGAGTGCCGCTGAATATGAGACGGAGCAGTAATGACTTCAGATAAGTCTAAAAAAAATGCTGAGCACATGTGTGTGTGTGTCTGGGGGTAACACTGTTTTGTAACTCAGCTGGTCAAGCAGCCTGTCTTGTTTTGGTTTGGTTGTCTAGCAACAGCTGGCAGCTCATCCTACCACAAAGTGACCACTTCAGATGTTTGGAGGGTCATACATGGAATTTATAGCCAGAGCTGAATTTATAGAAAGGCCTCTGTGTACATTAGAGTGTGAGTGAGAGGGCGAGAGAGGATCACAGGCTCAGGGGGAGAGAGAGAGAGGCAAATAATAAAGTTGTGAATTTTCAAAGGGTAATACTATTTTTTTTCAGTGCAAATGTTTGTTTTACACTGCTCCTTGTTCTAAAGCTCAACTGTAATCACTGTGTGCTTTCTAGTAGCAAAGCAAACAGCTTAATGTCTATTTGCGAAGTTTTCATCTTGTCTGAAACAAGATATTATTATGTTATGGAAGCAAAATAGTCAAAATCGCAATGTTTATGCCTACAATGTCTCGTCACAAAGAAATAATTCTTAATTAGATGAGAAGATCACTTGTCTATCTATTGATCTTCTAATTGAACTCTTTCCTAGAAAGGAAATTACCATAGTTTCCATTCCCATTTATTCTGAACTGTATTTTGCCTGGATGCAGAAGTACTTGATGCAGTGATGACGGTCTCACCTGGTCTGTCACAGTCTTTAGGCTGTGTACCAGCTGGAGTTCTGGTTCCTGCTCTCTCCTGTCCCGTACTGTCTACACACCAACAATGTCCAGTGGAAGTGTGGCACTAAAACAAAAAAGAAAGAAAATGTAGACAAAAAGTAATATTAAACAATGGCAAAAAACAATAACAAAGCAGGTGTGTTGTCGATGCCAACCTGCAGTCGTAGGTACTGTCCGTTAGCGTCACATTGAGGCACATGGGCTCCTACTACAGGATATCCCTCTTGAATGGTAGTCTGAGCTCTCTCTCTCTGGTGCTCACAGTGAGTCTTAGGACGCTCTGGTTCATCTGGAAAACATTTACAAGTTAAACAAAGTTATTATACATACATTATGTCTAGGAAAGTCGCAGATCTATATGATATCACCTACAATTATTCTGCATGGACGGCAGTCTTTGTACAATCCCTCAAGCACTCTAAATACATTGCATTCATCAGGTCATTTATAGCTATCATACGCAGTCTCACCTGGTCTGTCACAGTCTTTAGGTGGTGCACCAGCTGAAGTCCTGGTTCCTGCTCTCTCCTGTCCCCTATTATCCACACACCAACAATGTCCAGTAGAGCCATGACACTAAAGCAGGGGGAAGATCAGGGGAAGATCTTTCAGGTTATATGTCCACAATTCCAATTTACTCCACAAGTTTATCCACAAAATGTCTGAAAATGTTTACCTGCTGTGATATGTACTGTCCATTATCGTCACACTGAGGTACATAAGCTCCAACGACAGGATATCCCTCTGCACTGGTTGTCTGGACACCGTCTCTGTGGTGCTGACAGTGAGTCTTAGGGCGCTCTGGCTCATCTGGAAAAGAGTGATACATTTTTACAAGTCCATAGGAAACACAGGTGTTATTTTAAGATCATACCCTGCATGGGCTACTTAAAGATTTTCTCTTCAGTCCATAAGGCTCATTATCAAATCTTCACAGTAGATTATTTAGCTTTAACAACATTTTGCTAGCCGTAATTAGCATTCAAAGAAATATATCAGCTAATATGAATTACAGATAAAACCGACTTGCCTGCTATCTAGCATCAGCTGGTTACTAATCTTCACCCTCTCATCCAAATATGGTAATTTCTGATGTTGAATAACCAAGATGGCGACATCCAAAATGTCAAAATGAAAGCTTCAAAACAGCAATTCATAAACCCAAGCCATCACAGGGTCTACGTCAAACTGCTTTCAAACAGTTAAAGGACCCAATACTTAAAATTGTGTATGCAACAAGTCTTTTGCAGCTAGACTTAAGAGTCTCACCTGGTCTGTCACAGTCCACACGTTGTGTATCATCTGAAGTCCTGCTTCCATCTTTCTCCTGTCCTCTACTGTCCACACACCAACAATATCCAGTAGAATCGTGACACTGAAAAAAACCAATAATAGTTTTAACAATAACAGAGCACAAACAGAGGCCGTGTGTCTCTATACATTAGGAACAGATCTTACCTGCTGAGATGTGTACTGTCCGGTGGAGTCACACTGAGGTACATACACTCCCAGAAGAGGGTATCCCTCTGGGCTGTGTGTTTGAACACTGTCTTTGTGCTGCTCACAGTAGGTTTTAGGGCGCTCTGGTTCATCTGAAGATTTGGGATTTAGCAATAGTAAAAACATAGTCAATACATAATAGAAATAACCAATATGTAGCCAATTAAACCTTTCCACAAGTTCTACTTCAGTGTATGTTATGTTGGAGCCCAAGGGATGCAAAGAGAATAGACCCTTCCCCTAACCTGGTCTGTCACAGTCTTTACGTGGTGCACCAGGTGGAGTCCTGGTTCCTGTTTTCTCCTGTCCCCTTTCATCCACACACCAGCAATGTCCGGAGGAACCATGACACTGTAGCAAAACAATAATAATTGATGTTAAATAGGGCTTTATTTTCATCATATAACTCAAGGTTGCATTAAATGTATAAATGAAACTCTCTGTCACCAGACGCTGACCTGTGATGATGTGTACTGTCCGTTATCGTCACACTGAGGAACATAAGCTCCAACTATAGGATATCCCTCTGGACTGGTGGTCTGCACACCGTCTCTGTGGTGCTGACAGTGAGTCTTAGGACGCTCTGGCTCATCTGGACAGATTAAGGTGAACAGTTGCAGGATTATATGCATTTTCTTGTAAATAAGTTATTCAAATACATAGAGTAACACTAGACAACAGTTAGACATTAGTCATGTTTTCTTGATCTTTGTAAAGTTGTTTAACATTTGGAATGTTTGTACCTACAAGAATAAAACAATTATTTAATCATTTTTGTGTTTTAATAATGATGTCCTTCACGCATAGGCTACTACTTACTGCTGGTTGTTTAGCCTGAGCTTTGTGTAAAGACCTACACATGTACTTTATAAAAGCAGATTTCAAAGAGATGTTAGGGGAAGTGTTTATTTCTGACATCTCACAGTTAAAAGGGCTGAAGGTCATAAAATCCGTTCAGCAGGTAAAATCACAAATTGACAATTACTGTCTGACAATTGCAACATATACTGTATACACAAAAGGTACTTTTTCATGTATTTTAGTTCATATTACTGCCAAAATGAAAGCTTCTAACAACAGTCCACAAACCCAAGCCATCACAGGGTCTACGTCAACTGCTTTCAAACAGTTAAAGGACCCAATACTTAAAAGTGTGTATGCAACAGCAGCTAGACTTAAGAGTCTCACCTGGTCTGTCACAGTCCACACGTTGTGTATCATCTGAAGTCCTGCTTCCATCTTTCTCCTGTCCTCTACTGTCCACACACCAACAATATCCAGTAGAATCGTGACACTGAAAAAAAACAATAATAGTTTGAACAATAACAGAGCACAAACAGAGGCCGTGTGTCTCTATACATTAGGAACAGATCTTACCTGCTGAGATGTGTACTGTCCGGTGGAGTCACACTGAGGTACATACACTCCCAGAAGAGGGTATCCCTCTGGGCTGTGTGTTTGAACACTGTCTTTGTGCTGCTCACAGTAGGTTTTAGGGCGCTCTGGTTCATCTGAAGATTTGGGATTTAGCAATAGTAAAAACATAGTCAATACATAATAGAAATAACCAATATGTAGCCAATTAAACCTTTCCACAAGTTCTACTTCAGTGTATGTTATGTTGGAGCCCAAGGGATGCAAAGAGAATAGACCCTTCCCCTAACCTGGTCTGTCACAGTCTTTACGTGGTGCACCAGGTGGAGTCCTGGTTCCTGTTTTCTCCTGTCCCCTTTCATCCACACACCAGCAATGTCCGGAGGAACCATGACACTGTAGCAAAACAATAATAATTGATGTTAAATAGGGCTTTATTTTCATCATATAACTCAAGGTTGCATTAAATGTATAAATGAAACTCTCTGTCACCAGACACTGACCTGTGATGATGTGTACTGTCCATTATCGTCACACTGAGGAACATAAGCTCCAACTATAGGATATCCCTCTGGACTGGTAGTCTGCACACCGTCTCTGTGGTGCTGACAGTGAGTCTTAGGACGCTCTGGCTCATCTGGACAGATCAAGGTGAACAGTTGCAGGATTATATGCATTTTCTTGTAAATAAGTTATTCAAATACATAGAGTAACACTAGACAACAGTTAGACATTAGTCTTTTGGTGTTTTAATAATGATGTCCTTCACGCATAGGCTACTACTTACTGCTGGTTGTTTAGCCTGAGCTTTGTGTAAAGACCTACACATGTACTTTATAAAAGCAGATTTCAAAGAGATGTTAGGGGAAGTGTTTATTTCTGACATCTCACAGTTAAAAGGGCTGAACGTCATAAAATCCGCTCAGCAGGTAAAAATAACAAATTGGCAATTACCGTCTGACGATTGTAACATATACTGTATACACAAAGGTACTGTTTTCATGTTTTCTTAGCTTCATCTTACTGTTTTACTAGGATGCCTTTTAGCTCAATTTCCCACCACACACACAAACTCTCTGAAATGATATCACCTGTTTTTCCAGGCATTCCAAGGCTGTGACCCAATGACCTCAGTAGTGCACCACTTACAAGGTTAGACAAGCACTCACGTAAAACGTGCTGTCTGTTTGACCTTGTCATTGAGTTGAGGAATTATGGGGTACAAAGGTCAATGTTTAGCGAGAAATCCTTGGATAGGCATGACAGAATCCACCTGCTGACGCTAGTTCTGTTATTGCACATACCAAAACCGTTTGGAGCTCTCATTGGAGGCTGATTAGAGGGAGAGGTCTGTCTGTGTGTGTACATGTTCCTTTCTCACCTGGTTGTCACAGTCTGTGGGCGGTGCACCAGGTGAAGTCCTGGTTCCTGTCCTGCTCTTTCCTGTCCCCTACTGTCCACACACCAGCAATGTCCGGTAGTAGAGCCGTGACACTGAAAAAAACACATTTTATTCATTCCAAGCAGCCAGATTTATACCATTTAGTCTGTCAATAAGCGTATTACTCATTAGATCCTGACCTGCAGTGATATGTACTGTCCGCTAGCGTCACACTGAGCTACGTAGGCTCCAACGACAGGATATCCCTCTGGACTGGTGGTCTGCACACTGTCTCTGTGGTGCTCACAGTGAGTCTTAGGACGCTCTGGCTCATCTGAGAAAGAAAAGCATTTTTCTTTTTAGTTTCCACAAGAAGTCTTTAACAGATGCCGCAAATGGGATACCACAACTTCAAGATGGTACAAGTAAGATGGCGTAGGTAAAGCTTGAAAAGGCAAAGCAAAGAAATGGATAATGAGTCGAGAGTTTTACCAGAGTACGATACATTTAGTGTTGGTACAGGCAGAAAAGCAATCATTCCAATGAATCTCACCTGGTCTGTCACAGTCTTTAGGTTGGGTACCAGGAGAAGTCCTGGTTCCTGCTCTCTCCTGTCCCCTATTATCCACACACCAACAATGTCCAGTAGAGCCATGACACTGAAATCACAATAACAGCAACATGTACTGTATGAATGTACGTATTCAAAATAACAGTCAAATTACTGATGCAAATATAAAATGTCATGGATTAAACACATTATAAAGACTGACTTGTAATGATATGTACTGTCCATTATCGTCACACTGAGGTACATAAGCTCCAACAACAGGATATCCCTCTGGACTGGTGGTCTGAACACTGTCTCTGTGGTGCTGACAGTGAGTTTTAGGACGCTCTGGTTCAACTATAAAGGAAGAAAACAATGATATAATCTTGAAATATTAAAGAATGTGCTGCTGTGGAAAAAGACTTGAAAAAGTATCTTTGTCATGCTGGTTATCAAATGTACAATTTTCATAAATCTTTTGAACCCATCCATTCCTGTTTGCATAATAATGTTCAAAGCTGCTTGTTTATTAAACAATTTATGAGTATATATATCTAATGGTCCAGATGTACCAGACTGACCAATCTTGTCTGGTCTTTGTGTATTTGAGTAGAACAATCTGACCACATTGTAAAGAACACGCTCAGAGAAGCAAGAAGAAGGCCTGTTTCTCACCTGGTTTGTTACAGTCTGTGGGAGAGGAACCAGATGGAGTCCTGGTTCCTGCTCTCTCCTGTCCATTACCGTCCACACACCAACAATGTCCAGTGGAACCATGGCACTGTGGTGAACAAAATCAGCAATGCCATCAATACAAAGTATGAAATGATGTAAACATTATTGCAGTTGGACATTATATCTTTCACACACTTAATTTGTGACAAACCTGCAGTGATGTGTACTGTCCATTATCGTCACACTGAGGTACGTAGGCTCCAACTATAGGATATCCCTCTGGACTGGTGGTCTGCACACCGTCTCTGTGGTGCTGACAGTGAGTCTTAGGACGCTCTGGCTCATCTAGAGAGATAAAGATGAACAGAATATTAAGAGATGATGTATACATTAGTCGTATTCTTCTCTTAAATACCAACTTCTTTGGGAACTTGGGAAAGGGTTAACAATGAAACAATCACTCTTTGATGTTTTTCAATCAAATAGGCAGTGAATGTGTTTCTGTGTGTGTATCTCACCTGGTCTGTCACATTCATAGGGAGCTGTTCCAGGTAGAGTCCTGGTTCCTGTTCTCTCCTGTCCCCTGCTGTCCACACACCAGCAATGTCCAGTGGAGCCGTGACACTGTAACAAGTTGTTAAATGTTTTCAAATCCACACGTTGCTTAATTTAACCCTCAACCGTGCACTCTAGCGCTTCATCAGTCGCTGCCCACCCACCTGCAGAGTCCGGTAGCCTCCGTCAGAGTCGCACTGAGGGATGAAGGCTCCCACACTGGGTCTTCCTGCTTCCCCTCCACTCTGCAGGCTGTCCCTGTGATGCTCACACTGGCTCCTCGGGCGACTTGTCTCTCCTGTAGAAACAAAATCACATGCGTTTCGTTTTTTTCTTCCAAATCTTTGTGGTTTCTTTTGGATATGAATTGTATCGTGCATCCCTACGTGGTGTTTTTACTGACCTTCCTCCTGGGAACACTGGAAACCGTCCCCATAAAGCCCGGGCTGGCACTGACACTGGAAGGAGCCCAGTCCATTGATACATCTGGCACTGACGTGACAGGGAGAGGAGCTGCATTCATCGATATCTAAGAAAACAAAGGAAGCAGAAAGAAAAAAGTATAAACACATCCTCAAATTGAAACTTCGTAATAAATTCAAATTTCTACTACGTTCATAAATGTTAACTGATATACATCTGGCTGTAAGTTATCTTATCAGTATTTGGTTTGTGATGATTGCACCGCCTTGTGTAAAGTCTCTGTCAAGCAGGGAGGTAGGGAGGGTTTGAAGAAGTTCATCAAAAGTTCACACTGAAGGGTGAAAGGAGGACACACACCTCTCTCCTCCACACATTCCAACGCAAAACACAACATTGTGTCGTGTCTCCATTTGTCTTCCACTCTCACCCCCTTTCTCCTGTCTAACCTCACCCTCTCCTTCTCACATTAGTCCTCCCATTCCCACCCTTGTTGGAGCATTTGTCACCCTTCCTCCCCTCTCGCTGTGTTTCCTAGCTTTTGCAGCTGTGCGTTACTGTTGTTGAAGAAATGTGGATCTCCTCCAAATATACAGCTCATTCTGGAACATGCAGCACTACATGCTCCAAAAACATGTGACATGGCTCCCATTTGGATAGATGATTTGTTTAGAGAGTGTTCATTTCTTTGCACGTGCAGAGCATCCCTTTTACCACACTAACAGTGCGTGCAGGCGGACACCGCTTGTTCAGCAGAAAGCAGCGTGTTATGTGGTTGGAGTTGATATCTCTGTTGGTCTAGTATTTCAGATAACAGATACAGTGTAATGGGGCTTAGCTCAAATATAAACCACTGCAATGGGCTTGTTATTGATTTTAAACAATTATTAAAAGGTGTTGAAAGATCTTCAACAGACACAAAAACACATGCCGGAGATCACATGATTCTGCTTTTAAGTACGGAACAGTTGCCTCAGTGGGAATTATTAAACCACCTGCGATAACATTAAAATATCAGGCTAGTGAACATATTTTTTTGGTTCATTTTTATTAACCATCGCTGCAAGGCACTAGGTCGGACCACCACTTTCTTCCATGTTGAAATATAACAACTATTGGATGGATTGCCATGTAATTGGGTACAGACCGCAGAGGATAAATCCTCCTGATTTTAGTGTTCTCCTGGGGTTTTCCACTACCACTAACATTTTTGTTTTTTTAGCGAAATGTCTCTGCTTTGGATGGATTTCCGTGAAACTTGGCACAGACATTCATGTTGCCCCAAGGACAAATGCTAATTACATTAGTAGTCCTCTGGGTTTAAAACGTTTTCACTTGTCCATCCAAATGGGTTGAAATCTGTTGTAGGGATAATGGTAAATAAAGAAGAGTAATCAAATAACCAAATTAGATGTCAGTTTAACAACATCTGGAATAAGCTCACTTGTTCTCACATTAGCCACAATAAGCTACTGGCTATACCAGACAAAAAAAGTGGAATGGAAATATTAAAAAGGCTGAGGGTGTGTTTTATTGCATAATAATTATTGCACTATCTTTTCAAAGTTTCATTTAATGCAATTTTCAAGACCAAATAACTGCCTTACGACATTCCTCTTAGCCTCAGCTTTACTTTTGTTTTGTTTAGTGCTAATAAAATAGTCTCCAGGAAGAGCTCAGAACCCAAACCCATCTCCTGTGTAAATACAGTTAGGACAATTGTATCTAAACATCCCAAAAACACAGATCTGCGTTCATTGCACTCACCGACACAGGTTACGCCCGTCGAAGCCGAAACTCGTAGCCGCTCTGGCACGGACAGCGGTGGCTCCCGGCCAGGTTCATGCACTGAGCATGAGCACCACATGAGCTCAGGCCCTCAGCACACTCATCTACGTCTGCAGAGAGAGAGAGAGAGAGAGAGAGAGAGAGAGAGAGAGAGAGAGAGAGAGAGAGAGAGAGAGAGAGAGAGAGATGAGAAGAGAGAGGAGACGGAGAGAGAGAGAGAGAGAGAGAGAGAGAGAGGAGAGAGAGGAGGAGGAGAGAGAGAGAGAGAGAGAGAGAGAGAGAGAGAGAGAGAGAGAGAGAGAGAGAGAGAGAGAGAGAGAGAGGTGAGGCAGTGAAACAGTGTTTCTCACCACATGCGTGTGTCAGTGTAAAAGCTGTAAATAAGGGGTCATTACTGGTGCTCTTAGGTCGTATACAGTGAGTGCCTGCATGTTTGAGTTACTCTAACCCACACCTGGATTCTTGGCTGCTGTCTGAAATGTGTTGTGCAATGGAGAGAGAGGAGAGGAGAGGAGAGGAGAGGAGAGGAGAGGAGAGGAGAGGAGAGCTTGACCTCTGTATGCTTTTTGGACAGATGTTGATGAATCCCAGACACACTGCCTTCAACTTTGTCTAAATGTGTTATTGTTATAAAAACAGTTGTAAAAGCAGTTGCAATGTTCCAGATTATTTAACAGGACACTGTACATGCATGTCCATATAAAAGGGTGACAGGTACCGTAGCAGTTGCGTCCGTCCCCTCTGTAACCGGTAGCGCACTGGCACTGGAAGGCCTGGCCCTCCTGGGGGAGGCACTGGCCGTGGTGTCGCAGTCATGGCTCCCTGAGTAGCAGGGGTTCACCTGGTCCGGCCCCGCTGGCTCCACTACAGAGGAGCACAGACACATTACAGGGATCAAATAGATATAGTGATTTTTTTTTGTATTATACATCAATGAACACATGCTGCCTGAATGGGAAACATCTACAGTAGCTCAGGATTGAGTCTGAAGGTTTTATGGGTAATCATGCACCTTGGTGCTCGTCTATATAGCACATGGTATGGTTTACCATCCTTTATAGTCCTGGAAAATGTACAGAGGTCCTTTCATTTGGTACAAAATAGCTTAACAATCATGTAAAAACACTTAATAAAAGAACAGAAGTAGCAGCTGTGTATGTGTTTGTGCATTAGCGGGTAAGTTAGTGAGGCATTTTGGATAAGATGCCATGTCAATGCAGTCCATTGACCAATTAAATGTAGGAGGGCGTATAAACTGTAGTAAAAAATGTTCAGAAAAATGTTGGAGTGAGTCCTAACATCTTTACAGTGCAATTAATCTAAATAGACAAACTGTAACAATTTAGAGGCAAGACCAATCTACTGCACAGACTATGTTACATTTAGAATGTCCTGAATTGAGATGAATTCGATTATTCGACAGTTCAAGTCTCAATGATTGCAGCGTTGATTCCAGGACAGCCTAACCAGACACACATGTCAAATCACTCCAGATTCCCAAAGGACGGTTTCCTCTTAGGAAGTGACTCCCTTCATGTTCTCAATATTCACCATATGGATAATGTTAGACACACACACACATGAGGGAGACACACAGACAGGGGGATGAGTGAGCGGATGTGTGTTCGGGGTTTCCTCATACCAACGCACAAGACAACTTAAAGAGCAACCCTCGACTGATTTCTGGAAAATCAGGAAGACAAACAGCAGAGTGAAGAAAACCATGGGAAGCCATTAGAAAAGAATGTGAAGGACTTATAAATATTCCCAGAATTAAGTGACGGCTTAAAAAAATGTTCCAGACACATAAAGGGTGGGTGGCACAGTGGGAAACCCTTTCTCTTTCCAACTCTATCTAATTAACCTACAAATAATTAGTAGTATCAGTTTTAAAAGCTTTTATTGGAAAAAATGTTGGGCTTGGTTGTGGACAAATTATTGAAATGATGCTTTCAAAATGTCATAAATATTGTGTTTTTAAGTAGAATTTCAAGGAATCTTCTTGTGTCACATTTGGTGAAACACAGCACTTCTGATGGATGACTTTGTTTCACATCGTCTAAACATGTCTAGAAAATACACGACAGTAATGTGGTTTTCACCAGAGAACCATGTTGCTCCACCTACTAAACGTTTTCCCACTTACTCCATATCTATTTAATTGCATTTATCCACAAAAATAAAAATCGCCCTAAAACAAAATAAAAAACTTCTCCACGACTAATATCTGTTTTTAATAATAAGTGTTTTACGATGGACATTTTCTTTACAATCCTCCACTATAAACAACAACACACACACTTACACCTAAACAAAATCAAACACACAAACACAGCCATTAGGCACAGCTTGATTTCATCTCCTCAGGCCAGAGGCCAATTTTGGCTCATTATCAAAGACAGAGCGAGGGGGGGGGACGACTCTTCAAAGTCCTGAATGTGGCCCGGGAAGAAGGGGAGATGAGAGGGTGAGATACACATGGATGGGAGAAAAGACTGAGGGATAATTAGAGAGAGAGGCAGGCAGAGAAGGCGAGCGGGAGAGAGAGGGGTGGAGAACACACACACACGTAAACACACACATCGCTACACACCATCAAAGCAACCAGTACAGTTTCCCACCTGTTGCCTTTTACAAAACTCCTCCACACACACACCGCACTAGTTATAACGTTATGAGTCCGGCCGACGTGCACGGGCTACTCTGCTGATCCAATGGACCGACCTTATCCATCCATCATCACTGACTTTTACTCACACGTTCAACTGACCTGGGATTTAAGAGAGTGTTGTTTGAAGGGATGATAGCAGCATATGAGTTGCCCTTCAGTGCCTGGCGGTCAAAACCAAACCGCCTCTGCAGCTTCAATCTGAGCTTAACGGAGTAGTCAGTGTTACACGAGTTTTGAGAATACACCGATTACAGTACTTGCCCACCATCGTTTTTTGTTCTTTTTTCTGATTGAAATTAAACCCAGTACATTATTTTTCAGGTGTTCCTCAAATAAAAATTCTCTTTTGTAAGATACTAACCGCCAAAATGGGCCGAATCTTGAATAGAAAGGCCAGACACTTATTCTTATGGTTATAATTTATGGTCTTGTTGAACAGTGTGAGTAGGGTAGGATTGTTAAGATTGTAGTAATACTTATATGTGTTTTTTGTATTCCATTTCCACTAATTCGATATCTTGGAACACCTTAAAAAGCCCAAACCAGTGTTTCCATTTGCTGTAGCACATGAAACTCTATATATGAAAAGCTGTCCCCAACACCTTCACTTAAAATAGTTCAAGAGAGATATAACAACACTGATTTATACTTTCTGACAGCTGTTCATGAAGATGTTGACAGAGACTGAAATCAGGTAAAAGGGTTCCCTCTCTGTCTGTCTGTTCAGTGTCTCTAGCTCTTCTGCAATCTCTGATTCTCATGACATCAGTGGGCAGCTATTCTGCCCGGCAACCCCCCCACCAGAAAATCTGTCATTGGCTGGGATATTATTTCCCAGAATGTGTAAAACCCTTGAACGTGCACACATACACACACACACACCACTTAACCCGTGTTTACAAAAACCCCTGATCCCCAAAAGCTCTTCCAGCTGTGCTCCGGGTGTATCAGTGTGTGTGCATGTCATGTGTGAGATGTGTCATCATAACCTTTTTAATCAACGTGTTGACGTCTAAATGACAGAAACTTGGTCTGGGTTCAAAAACTGGGGGGGGGAGGAAAACAGTATCTCGCTCTTTTCCGCCATCATTTCAGGTCTCTTGTCTCTATCTGGTTTTCATCAGATAGAGTGGGTTTAAGAATGCACGGCCACTGTGTGTTGACAGAAAAATAATACACTTTATAAAAAGAAAGCTGGGAACTTGCCAAAAGAAACAGGATGATGTTGGTCAAAGTGCTGGATATACCGAAAATTGCTTGATATCACTCCATAAGACGGTGCCAACAGTCCACATTGAAGTCATCAATGCCAATCCAGATGAAAACACTATACTAGTTAAATATCTAAAGTCAGCTGTGACGCAAATTGCGGTTGCAATCATCCTTAGGGGGGTGTAGTGGGTCTGCAGCCTTTAGCAGACAACGACCCCAGAGACAGAAGAGGTAATGCAGACATTAGGACATTGTTTTCTGGTTTCAATGTAAATGATCCCTCAGCGCACAGTATGGGTGTTTATAGCCCGAGCTGTGTCCAACTCTGCACCGTGGTTTGGCTGAGGTTTCTGTGGCAGCGCTGCAACAATTACAAGGTGGTCTGGTGTCTAGTTGTGGTCCTGGAATAGAGAAAACCTCATGTGTGTAACGCCTCCAGTGTGTTCGGCCACTTACAGATTGACAGGGATGTTTTGGAATGGATTCAGATGCTCGGTTCTCCACGATGGCTGATGCTGGCCTACATGTGATGGGTATATCTGCCTGACCCCAGGTAGCCTATACTGACACATTTTATAACATTTCAGTGGGCCTCACCTCCGACCGGGCTGATCTTGTTGGTGATGGCGTATCTCAGGATCCTTTCCTCTTTGACGTACATCACAAACACCCTCTCCATGGTGATCTGCAGCGTCTCCGGGACAGTGGCGCGGTTGTCGTGGCGACAGTCGCGGTAGGTGATGTTTTGCTTCAGCTGGAAGGAGAAGGACTCTGAGCCCTTTTCCGCCGAAACGACAGAAAACTCCCTCACAGAGGTGGAGGTGGCAACTGGAGAAAGAGAGAGTTAAAGGTTCAAGGAAGACGAAGGCCTCAAATGTTACACAGAATTTGTTTCTTGTGGTTGTTATGGTTACCAGATGGGTAGTACTGGTAGGTCTCCTTGAAGGGATCCATGGTAACTTCAGATCCAGGGGGCAGGAAGGGCACGTCTCCACTGAGTACGGTATCCACGGTGAGGTGGTTGTGGTCATCAAGGCCGCGTCCCGTCTGGATGATTGACAGGCGCTGGTTGCCGGGATAGAAGATCACCTCAGCGCGACGAGTGAACTCAGCACCTGGTGATAAATCATTCAATTATTTTCTGATTGACTATTTTTAGATTATGCTCATTGAATACTGCAGACACTCCAGCAGTTCAGCAGTTGGATATCATAAACAGCGGAATTTCTGCAATGGCTACATCTGTATAGAACACACACACAGACACGCACAGACACACACACACACCGACACAGACACACACACACACATACACAGCTGCTTCCGATTAGAGAGGGGAGGTGGAAGCCTGATATCACATCACATCCCTGGAGAAAATACAGCTGGCTGGGAGACCAAAAACACACACACACATACTCACACACATTCATCGTAGAGGAGTTTCCTCAACCTTCTACAGAGGTGCGCAAGAGTCAAGATGTGTACATGGCAACATACCCCCACACACACACACACGTTTACCTGTGATTTTGAACCCTGCTTGGCTTTTGGGCAGCTCCAGAGCAAATAGCCATCCAAACAGCTCTCCTATTGGTGCAAGCGGCATCAGAGCCCAGCCCACTGGCTCGGGTACCTGACCAATCAGCACAAAGATTACAAATTACAAATGAGAGAAACCAGGAAATTGATTTCAATGTGAATTAGAAGAGTGGAATTCATATCTAGTTAAATAAGTTACACTTTTGAATGTTTGAATTTTCCGACTCGTACCTCGCTGATGGCAGTGTACGCTCTGCCGTCTCCCACCACGATGTAGGCGTGAAGATCGATGTTGTTTATCTCCACTGGAGTCGAACCGACGGTCACTGTTCCGGTCACCTTACCACTAACACGCTGAGGGGCACCTGAAGAAGAAGGATTATAACAACAGAAAAATGTAAGATTTGAAATACAGTACTACTACATAAAAACATGGGTTCATGGTAGGGCTCTAACCGTCGGGTAGACACTGGCGACCGTTTCCATAGAAGCCAGGGCGGCAGTGACAGCAGTAGCCTGTGGCGTAGTCGGAGCAGAATGCATTCTGGGAGCAATGCTGTTGGAATCTAGAACGAAAGCAAAACAACACACGTTTAATGCCTTAAAATGTAGTATCACAATGGATAGAGCAGAAACACAGATATTGTTATCCCCCACAAAAGCAATGTAGAATCAAGTGACAGATTCTGTACCGTTGTCATATAAAACAATAGACAACCACAACAAACAGTTATAACACGTTTCTTATTCCAATAACATGAACATAATGCTATCAGGTCTTCACATACCTCGCACATGTTTCCTTATTCTCTGTCGTGTACTGAATCACTGAGAGAGAGAGAGAGAAAAAAAGTCTTATTGTTATTTTGGATTACATATACAATACAATACTTATTAAATAAACTCCCTGGTGTCTCCCATCCAAGATCCTCACAAAACGGCATTAGGACAAAACATAGAAAGGGGTGTACATGCAGACTATAAACATCATTTGAAATGTTCACATCAAAGATTTGAACTTGGTCTCTGTTGTATATTATTTGATGGCTTTTATAGTATCTTTCCTCAAGTGAACATTCATATAGAAATAGGAAATAGAAAGATTTAAGGTTGCAGTTATGTTGGCAAGCGATACTATTTCTGTATGTAAAGTTGTTTCCACATAAGTACAGATGGACAGAAAGAATAAGAAGGCGGACAAGATACAGGGAAAGGAACACACACACACACTCGAAGATACACATGTCAAGGCACCACTTGAAGACAAACCAGCTGTTGCAGTCCTGCCTCCCACACCCACTAATCCACTCACAAACTAACACTTTTACTGTTGCATCATGATCTCCCAAATGTGAAATAAAGAAGTCTAAATAAAATAAAATCACAATAAACTGATAAAGTAACACAGTAATGTATATCTACAAGTTTTGAGAAGTTTTTAAATATGCTGCTCTCTACACTTATCTAAACAGTGATCACTCTTTCCAGAGAAATATCCTCTGACACACAGGAAGTGATATGCTGTTTCTAAATATATTTTTTGAATAAACAGACAAAAAATGTAATGGTCAGCATGAAAAGAGACAGTCACCATTGCTGAGAAGACAGAAAAAATAAACGACACCAACATTACTGATATAAAAAACTAGGGATAAAATATTTGAAATGCAAATAAACTAATAGTACTAATAGAACTATTAGTAAACCTAATAAGTGCCTTCTCTTTTTTCCAAAAAATGGCTGATTTGGGATCTAAATGCAGCATTATATCATCCTACAGGGGCATCACAACACACACACACACACACACACACACACACACACACACACACACACAACACACACACACACACACACACACACACACACACACACACACACACACACACACACACACACACACACACACACACACACCACACACACACACACACACACCACAACTCACACACAGGATGTCAGGATATTTTCTCAGGAACCGCACACACAGGAGACAAATCACTCTGCTTTTACACACAAAAACACACACACACACATGCCAATGCTGCAGAAGGAAACCCACACACTTACATCACAATGAATCTTATGTGCTGTCTAAGTTACAAAATCAACCCATGACAGCACAGCAGAAAAGTACACATGTTTATTCGTAAACTACGCCTTTTCTCAGATTTGTATAATTGGGGAATGTTCACACACTTAATACTGTAACTGTGCATGCCTTACTGATAGATTAAATTATCCCTATTCCAAAAATACTGTAATTCATTTCCGTTGAAAGATATTTTCTTGGCCTCTTCTAAGAAACCTTGGATTTCATCACTCCAAACTGAGTTAAATAACTTAACTTCTCAACTCTTATGTAACCAGCCAAGTTGACTGAGAACACATTTTGTTTACGGCAAGAGCCTGAGGGAGAAGTTGCAGGGGAGGGACTGTTGGACACACACACACACACACACACACACACACACACACACAACACACACACACACACACACACACACCACACACACACACACACACACACACACACACACACACACACACACACACACACACACACACACACACACACACACACACACACACACACACACCACACACACACAACACACACACACACACCTGGGAGCTGCCCAGCACAACGGCAGTATTGTACTGCCAGCTGCTGAGCGGCTCTGCAGCAGAGGGCAAGGTAACGTTACCCTCAGGTTTCTCAAAGGGACTGTCCTTTCATCAGTTGAGCTGAATATTACATATACATATATATTATACATCGCAGAGTTTGTCTCTTACCTCCTGTGTCAAAATCAATGTCGTCTTCATCCACGCTGACCACGTGACCTCCAGGGGAAAGATTGGGTTCATTTCTGTGAGGGGGGTAGACATCCACCACCTCCAGAGGAAGCTACACAGGGAATACACTGTGTTTAACTTCAAACACGTTTCTCCTGTTGTCTTCAGGGCCAAGACAATATTTTGTAACTCTCCCCAGATGCTATGAACAAAGAGCTATGATCTGTGCATACTTTACATGGCGCATACAGTATGTAGGGTTTAATGATCACAGCTTTGCCAGTTTTTACACTACTATACTCTACAGAAAAAGCGTTCCATTGTAACCACAGAATTTACAAAACGTGCCTGCAACTTCAATTTGGTATTACAAAACTCAGTACTGAGAGCACTGCCAGATACATTCCTGTTTTTTAAAAGTACATCACAATGAGTGATGTTTGCAGAGAGTTGTTGCAGATTGGCAAACAGTGCAGCTGTCTCTTGTCACATCACAAATGAATTTAGTCTAGCTTTGCAACGTTTGCAATTTAGGTGTAGCTTTACAATGCTAGTAATAACACATTTAAATTAACCTAAATACTTTTTTACAATCATTTCATGTTAACATGTTAGTTCATTTCATGCGTTACCTGTGGTTGCTGTTCCTGAGTCCGCTCAGCACGTCCCTCTGGTCGTCTTTCTGAAGGGTTGGAATACTGCCTCTCTGCTGGCTCTGGATTGTACCCTGGGTTCAGAGGTCCATGGGACATCTTGATGACCAGAATCCTCTGCACGCGAGGAGGGAGCATCAGGGCTTGCTGGCTGAACGGACGCTGAGTGGTCCCCACCGGCAGTGGCTGGCTGGAAGTCAGGGTCCCCGCCTGTATGAGGGTAATTATCTTCCTCCTCCTGGTTATCACCGTCAAAATTATTGTCTTCATATTCCTCAAACTCACTGTACTCGGGGGTGGTGGTGTCCTAAAGCAGAAACCATGTATGGGTTAGGAGGTTTACAACACAAAACACCTCTTGACTGTACATACAATGAATTCAAGACGAAAACTAAATTACCAGGGAGAGGCCGTGTCCTCCGGTTGGTGGAGTGTTCAGCTGGCCACCAATGGATGCAGGGACAATGTTGTCAAAAGAGTACCGGTTCCCAGTATGGAAAAGCCAGACACCTGGAATTCCTGTGTTACCAACCCTAAAGAGCAGGAAAACAGTCTGGTGTCAGAGCATTTCTCACCTGACAGGTTTATATCGTTATCAGTTTTATTAATTACACCTTGTGCTCCCCCCCCCCCCCCCCCTTTATTTTAGCTTGCAAAAACATCTAACGTTAACTGCTAAATTACAAAACAGCTGTAAAATGTTGGCGTATGTTTTTTATTTTATACAAAGGCTTATGAAGTTACATACAGTTATATAATACAAATATAAAATGTACTTCAATTTCCAAACAGAACTACATAATTTTACATTTGACCTATAACAATATTTAAATGATATTTATTGTTTTCTTCTGGCTATTTTGCAAGCCACTACTTTCACAGAGCTAATTCTCTGATTAATCACATTTTTGTCAGTTGTAAAAATAAGCAACCTTGAGGTTTTTGTACTTACTGGTAGAGGTTTTTCACACTCTGCTCATCACTTGTAGCGCTGTAGTACGGTCCTTCAGTTCTGGAGAAGATCAGATATGTGACTTCTCCTCTGCTGAAGCCAACTCTAGCTGGAAGCTCTATTTCAACATTATAAGACTCCTAGAAGAAAAATGCAAAATGAGGAAATCAAATAGTTAGCTGTTAAATAAACATTGCACTTAGTGAGTGCATGCCTAGACGTTTTGCAGTAGCAAAGTATCCGAGCGAACCGAGATTATGAATTACCTTGGGGCGTGTCGCAAAGAAGTTCAGGCCACCTTCAGGATACAAGAACAGGACATATGAATCGGTCTCATCATAACCAATCACTGCCTGGAAGGTATTGACCTTGAGAGAGAAGAAACACAGTCAGATAAGAACAGAGACAAAACTGACCCAGCAGCTAAAACATAGCCTAGTTTTATTCTATAGTCTCTTTCACACACGACTGTAAACCTGAATTCATCTAGACATTAACCGGAGGACCTGTATGTGACAGCACAAATGTCTGAATCATTGAGACCAGACTTTAAACAGACTCCACCCGATCAGCTCTCCAGTAGTAAGTCTGTGTAATGTCTGGTGGAGCCCATGTGTGAATAAAACTGCTTATTGTACAGAGAATTCAGGGCGAGTGATTTGGAGTGTTGATGATATTTCCATGCAGCTGGCACAAAGACAAATATCTGATGGTAAAGAAGAGGGATCATTTAAACAAATGAGTCAAAGAAAGGTCAAAATAAACAAATTGGCATCGTCATCGGGAACTTCTGTCAACCCACGCTAAAAAAGACCTTGCTGTTGACTAAGCAGCTACATGATTGCAACAACGCGCTACCCTTAACCCCAAAACCTTTGTCAGGCGACAATATAATGAAATCTCCAGACATTGTGATATAAGAAATTGGCTTATAATTCCTTGTAGACCTTCCCTTAAGCTTTTCAATGTGTTTTACACACACGTCACACCTCAAATACCTATTTTCTTAAACATGTCTTTTTTTTCTACCCCTGATGGCAGTACATTTAGCATGTCACTGGTAATTAAGATATTCATGTTCATTTTCAGCTCTGCTAGAGGGATAACCGTCTTTGTGTACAGCTTAGCTTAACCAGGCTCAATTAACACTTCACACCTCGCTTCCCCTCTCCTCCTCCCTATGTCTCCTCCTCTTCCTCTGCTGGGATTCATGTTGAGACTTCTCACCCTTCACGCTCCCCTTCTGCCGACCACCACCAATTATTAACAGACTGAGCATCTGGGTTTTAAAACATCTCTTTTGCACAAATGAAGGTGATTTAAATGAACTGAGTCAGGGAACCTTTTCTACCAGAACTTGTGGAACCTCTTTTGGACGTTTATGTGTTGGCGTCCAGCCCACTCTGTCTTCCAAAACCACAGTTAAAAAAACACAGATTTGGTGAATGAGGGGAAGACTCTGAGTGATCCCATGTTGTTTTCCTTAGGGACACAATCAGATTATCTGTGCACACACACACACACACACACACACACCTCGGTCTCTAAACCCCCAGCCCAGATGTTGATCTCCACAGCTGTCTTCCTGTGTGTCTGGGCATCTTTCACGATGATGTTAGTACAGGCAAACCAGACCTCGTTACAATGTGAGACGTGGGGTGCACACACACACACACACACACACACACACACACACACACACACACACACACACACACACACACACACACACACACACACACACACACACACACACACACACACACACACACACACACACACACACACACACACACACACACACACACACACACACACACACACACACACACACACACACACACACACACACACACACACACAAGCACAAGCACAGATGTCCCTCCATCTATATTCCACTCATGGGAATGTATGTGTGTGTTCCTAATTGTTTACATCAACATCTTTAAACTATCTTGTTTGTGGGCGGGGAGGACTGTGTAGCCTCCGGGCTTTGTAATTACTGAGGAGGGGGTCTTTTTTTTTCTTTCTGTCTTTGGGAGGAGAAGAGGCTGGAGCTCAAGAGGGGATCTGCTTTTTTCTTTGTCCCTGACATCCTTTCTAAACGTCTGTATTTTTCTCTCCTGCTATCCCTCCTTTTTCCTGGGAGGAGGAGGCGAGGGGAGAGATGAAAGCATGCGGGGGGTTGGGGTCTGGTTTACAGAGGGTGTACGGGGAGACAGAGAAGAGGATGTATTTCCATCCAAACAGTTATACAAAGTTAAAACAACAAGAGGAAATAGTGTGTGTTTCCATCTAAATCTAACATTTCTGTTTCCTACTATATGATAAAAGTCTCATTAGTCCACGATAGACCCAACACATTAGTTAAGTTTGGGTTTTTTCCAGAATTAAAAAGGAAAAAGCGGTTGGTGGAGCACACCCAAGAGTCTTTGTTTTACCCACAACAATCCTTTTCCACTTCAGTGAACATGATTTGCAATATTTAGCTTCTCTCAGGTTACTTTTCATATTGTTCATGAAACAGCTAGATTGAAACTCATTCAAAGAGACACGCAGATAGAGAAACACATTCAGAAAACGTTACGGTTTTTAAATGATGTTTATGCCACATTTAGTGGCTGCATTTGAGAATGGCCTTGTTCCATTTTAGTGTTTACATGACAAAGAAGTTTTCTAGACCACCTCAGACTGTTGCCTTCAAGTTTGTACGAATGAAATGTTTGACTTTAAGGGAGATGTGCTTATTTTAGTACAAGAGGAGAATCTCATATTTGCACACTCATTACGAAGCTTGCTCTATCTCAATATTAAGCGTACTAACTTGAAACTGGTTAATCCACTCATCTAAATCTTGGAAAGAAACCAAATAATCTAATTTCCCAATATGACAAACTATAACTCTAACTCCGGCTCTCTCTTTCTGTGTGGTCATCTGCTGAGTAAGTCTGTCCTGGTGTGCTTTACAGACTCACAGCTGGAAGACAACAACTAGCAGCCAACATACATCAAAGACCTTCAGACAGTGTGTAGCTCAGAATGTGCTGTGTGTGTGCTCCGGCAACCCCCCCCCCCACACACACACAACCTTCGACCTCCCTAAAGGCATTTTGTTGCACCTTTTTTTAAGAGTGTCCTCACACTCCAAACACCGAGCAGACACATGCACAGGCGTTAATGGTCTCCGAGACCGACAAATGTTTGTTGTTGGGGTCCTTCAAGGTTTAGGTGGTAACATCATCAGACTGCTAGGATTAACTGGTGGGGGGGGGAATACCCGACCGCTTAAAGGGACAGTTCATCCAAAATAAATATTTACTCTTTCAGTCAATATTAGATTAAATTTGAGTGTGGCACCGAATTTTTATCAAAAATGTCCCAATAAAGTAAGAAATTAAAAACAATCTTTTCTTTTTAAAGTTATCCTTAATTGATGGTAGCTTTAAAAACTAGTAAAGTGTATGGGTAAAAAGTTATGTTTAGTTTTTTTTTAGCAAACACAAATAGAAGCCTTAATGCCTCCAAGCATGTTTTCCATTCTTTGTGTTCAGACTTTTAATTGAAAAGGCTTTTATATTGGGTATAGCATCATTGCTACAACAAGCTACAAATATGAACTTTTAACCATTAAAATGGGTGATTTTAGTTCAATCGAAGTTGGCAAGTATATAACGTAAAATATATAACACTATTGCATATATAACATAACATAATATGACTTAATTCTACTGTTTGTAAACCCTGCAGCAGCTGCAGGCGTGTATCATTTCTCTTTCAGTTTACTTTAGTACGGTCGTGTTTAGTATCTGTATATTTATTGGTCTGGTTTACTCCGCCTTGATATAGTTTAGTCTACTCTGCCCTACTGAAGGTTTAATTGACTTCCCATCGTGCCTGTGTTTCGAATCAGTGACTCATCACTGTAACAAATGTTCTAAATGACATTATAATTATCTCGAGCTGGATCCCACTTTGGTGAGGCAGGAACATCCCGAGGAAAGACGGGGATCGAGGGAGGTCCGGGCGAATGTGCAACACTTGTTTGTTGGTTGCCGGTTTTTCAGCTAGTTGGCCGCAAAACAGCTGCACGGGGAGAAAGAAACAGAGAGCAGCTGCAGGCCAGTTGCCAACCTCACCAGAGTGCTACAAACGGAACTGCCTACAGCGTGGGAACTGGCACACACACACACACACACACACACACACACACACACACACACACACACACACACACACACACACACACACACACACACACACACACCACACACACACACACACACACACACACACACACACACACACACACACACACACACACACACACACACACACACACACACACACACACACACACACACACACACACACACACACACACACACACACACACACACACACACACACGGCTGAGGCTTGTGGCCAGGAACAGTCCAGTCAGTCTTTCACTGTTGTCGTTTGCTCCGATCTTTTGCGGTGGCTTTCCTGTTATAACTTCAGCGTTGCGCTCAAAAGGATTCCCTGCTCGTCTTAAGCTTGAGGAAATTGTACAACTTCAGGGCTTATGAGCGCTCTGCAAAACCTATTTGATCAACTCCAGAACACATGGTGGTTAAAACCAGAGCTGCTTTTCTTAGATCCTTAAAGTTTTGCGAACATGAACGTCTTTCCCGCAGCTACAAACCAGAGCTCTATGACTTAGTAATTAGGAAGCCGTCAAGATCCCAAGTCTTAAAAGTCAAACTCTGACTCGTTTTAGTGGCTATTATGGAGCTATAAACCCTTTTCTTTTGCACAGAATCAATCCCAAAGCAAAAGCTCAGAATAACACATTATGAGAGCTGAATTTCAGTAAGAGTCTGCTCTGAACCCGGATGAGCATATTTCAAGGGATGCCCCCTGTGTCACTGCAAGGGGGCCCCCAGAAACAACAAATAACACTAATCGAAACAAAAGTTCCTTTTGTGCTACAGACAAGAAAACAGACGGAGAAGAAGAAAGACAGAGAGGATAGGAGAGGCCATACGAGAGGCAGAGAGGGCTGAATCTAACAGAGGAGTCCATTTATTCATTCATCCACTCTCCACTGACCCTCCCACAGCCAATGCGTAACATGCTGTAAAGCCTACAACACTTTCCTTATTTGCACAAATAACTTTGTAGGGAATTCCAGGGGAAGCTAGATACAAATCTTTTTTTTTTTTAAATGGTCTACTGTGGTCAAATTTAAAATCACATTCCACTTGAAATTGCTGCTCATATACAAGAATGTCTCACAGGAAGGGCACCTGAGGTTAGATGTGCAATAACGTGTATATTGTAGCATTCCTTTTACCATCACTCAGTACTATTTCCTTTCAAATGTTGCAACTATTGCATTCGATGTAGCTATTTTGGATCCGAAGAGGGGTATTTAATATACATTTTTCGTTTATGAAGTTTAATTTTTACGGGGTTGTCTTTTAAATAACATAGATAAACATAACCTAAAAACCTACAGTATGTCCTTCTTACTATATTCCAAGTTATCCGATGTCAAATAAATACATTAAGATTTGGCATACAGACATGCTAGCAGCTCTGTAGGGAATACATAGACAAGCGTTAATTTAAGCTATGTGCTTACGTAGCATCAACATACTAACATGTTCAAAATGATATTGACAGGCTTATGATCACAACTTTTCATCATGTTATCACAAATATGTGGTTTCAGTTTTGCAGGTTTTTGAACATAAACCAAAGCAAGTTAGCGTTAGCATCAACATGGACATTCTTGCACATTCTCTTTGTCTTTCTGTGGATGGAGAGGTTATTTCCTGCTGCTAAGAATAATGACGTTAACGGTGGGGGAAGTTGCTGCTGTGTAACAGCATCCACTAACATGACAGGTGTGTTCGTGTGAAGGAGGATTAGCAATATGCTGCTCAAAGTAAAGCCTTGTCGACACTTCCAAAAGCATCGACACACAGAAGGCCAGATTCTCTGAGTAAATACCTCTGGTCATTAGCAAATTGGGCTACATGGTAGGAGATACAACAGAGTGTGTGTTATAGGTTTCAAATGAAGCAATTACTTTCCAATTACGATAATAGCCTCTTTAGGACTCATTTCATAGAAAAAACAACTCTTTTTTGGGGATGTGAACTTTTCTCTCCTCTATTTCCCTGTTTTCTCTTCCCTCCTGCACCTCCACATCCGACCCCCAAACACCACACAGCCTGCCCCCTCCCCCAGCCCCTCATACACATCCCGACAAACACACACCTCAGGTTAATCAGTTCACACACACATACCACTCTACCCCCAACGCACCCCACCCAGCACCTCTGGCTAATCGCTTCAAAGAAAGATGCTATCAGTCCGAAGAAAGAGCCACTGAAGCAAATCCCAGACTGATCTGACAAGCACCATGGAGCCTTTCCAACAACACTCTTTCTTAGCACATGGAAATACATCCAGTCTTTAATTAGGAACACTGGATAGACTTAATTCCAATATTTGAGGTTCAAAGTCGACCAAAAAGAGCCTTTGAGAAGCGTCTTAAGAAGCTTAATGCTGTGTATCCCCACTCCACTGTTTGAATGTTTAGCTTTTAATCAATCAGGAAGAAAGGGGGAGGCCTAAAAGAAACCAGACCAAGAGAGTAAAGAAAAAGGACAAACAGATGAGGCAGGGAGAGACCCAGAGGTCTCCTGGGGGTATTTCCTTAAGTCTACCACTCCCTTCATCTCTCCCTCCCACTTGCTGCAAACCAGGAACAACAAAGCTCTGTTTGTTTAATCGATACGTTCAGTGCTTTACTTGGAGACTCTCCTAAAGACTTAGGCAAACAAAGTCTTCAGTGCTGCTTTAGGTGACACTTTCTGTTAGGGTCCATCTTTTCTGAGAACAATACATGTGGTATGCATTTGAAAGAACATGGATTAACTGTTCATTGATACACTTGAAATGGATTCAGCCTTTGAAGACAGTTGCACAATGTCCTCTGCAGCTTTGGAGGGAGCTTTCCATAGTTGAAAAAATGACCATAAAAATGTCATTGTGCAGTCGTCAGGGTAACAGTGTTTGGTCAAGACTGCATTACACACTGTAAGTGTACGTTTGAAAGATGTGTGTTGAGAGCTTCAGGGATGAGGTGTAGGCCAGGTGTACATTCAATCGCTATTAGTAAAAAGTACCGTTAGGCGATAAACAAACTGCATCACGGTGGCATGGCTAAGCTAAAGGCGGCTAATGTTCATCGTGATGACGATTATTAGTCTCATTGAGCCACCCCCCCTTTTTTTGTAAGCTAAACATGTTAAAAATGTGACATTGGTCTACAAGCAAGCATTTACTTGTTCTTTGAGTGCAAGCAAATTCCTATTTTCCCTATAATTAGTGACAAATCACACGCCTTTTTCCAGGAGAATTCCTAGAAAATTACGGATGTGTAAATTAAAGTGTTAACCGCCTCCTGTAAGGCGTGCCTCCCCAGGGGGCCGCGGGAGAGTTTGAAGAGGGATGCCGAGTGAGAATAGCTGCCTGAAGTGAAAGGGACAGGTGCTTATCACTGTTCAGAAAGCACTGTTTTAGTCGCCTCATTAAAACTGGTACTCAATATATCAACGAATATATTATGTTTTACTTTCTGCTTATTGTGTATTGCATTAGCTCGGTTTTAGTTGGAATAAGTTGTACTTTTCTCCTGCGGTAAAACATCCACAGCAAAAAGAAAAGTCGAATTGTGTGGTAAAATGTAAAACGTTTAATTAAACTCTAAGTGTACATTTTGTAGCTGAAGAGGAGCACTTTAATGGTCAACCAGGTTATTAACTGTTGAGTGGCTGACAAACAGGGAGGGAAGAGAAGTCCAACAGAGCATGAGAGCATTAATGGTCCAGGCATGTTTGTGTCTACCTGTGTGTGAGGGGATAACGAGTCAGGGAGGGGGCACTTTGATGACCCTTTAAGATGACCTCTGACCTTTTGAAAAGGTTAAGAGGCAGATTAGGAGGGGAAGGGGAATTACAAATAGACCCCCCACCCCAGGCTGATTACAAGTGATGCACATCCTCCAGGAATTTGGGATTGTGTCTCTCACAATGACCAAAACATACTTGTGGGATTACACGATGAACTCATCCAGTCATAAATCATGACACAGAGAGACAGGGGGGGGGGCCTGGAGCTAAAACTCTCAACCCCTCCATCCATCTTACCTTGTTTGAAGGTCCATTGGTTCGGGTTGGCTCCTCGTACGCAGCCACGTTCTCCCATGTTGCAACCACAGCATGTGTGGGCGTGAATTTCGCATCTGGGAACCCTCGATGTACTTCCTGGGTGAGCAGATGAATGAATGAATGATGGAAATGAAGTAAAAAAATAAACAAGATGGAGTGTACAATGGATTGAACTAATGGATGAACTGAAAAAAGGAAAGAATTCATATCCGTGGTTAATTGTTTTTCAGAACGTATTCATCTCAACATGTCATTTTCGGAGTTTTTGTTACAATCATGTATAAAGTTATTAGTGCCTGAAAATACACAGTTTTTGGCGTCAAACTTTTCGAAACAATTCACATATAGTTTCTCCCATCTTCATGAGTTTTGGTACACACATTGCTCTTATGATTGCGAACATATTTGAAATTGGTTTTCATTAGCAATGCACGCCCGGAAAGCAGCCATTTTGAATTATGAAATACAAATTTCGGATGGAATAACCCCCACGGCAAATATGACACTAGATTGCAAAGGGATAGTCGATAGCTCAAATGAATGTGTGGTGGGTCAAGGGGGTAACATTAACGCCATGAAGACAATGGATATTCAATAGACATACAGACCTGGGCCACTCTGTTGAGTACACTGGGAGTTTCGGTCACGCGGTAGTAGATCTGTCCTCGCCCTCCGCTGGTGTCGATGTCAGCCAGAAATGGAGCCACCACGGGGAAATCCGTTGGGAAGCCGTCGTCAACGTACTGCTTCTCCATCGGCAGGTCCTGGCCTGATATGATACCGTTGGTAGCCACCTATAGACAGAGAGAGACAATTATTAATAATCACCACAAGCAGTTTAATACTAGGGCCGGGTCTAGAAGGTATTGATTGAAATAGCCCATTAAAAATAAGAAGTGAATGTCTTTACATATACATAATCTTCTTTTAAATACGCAAAACACCATCATGAACCCAAAGAACCTCCCAATGAACCCGTACCCCCTCATAAACCGCTGGAACCTCCGTGGGCACTGCTGGTTAGGTCAGGGGCCCCGAGAACCACATAATGAACCCCTAGACTTCAAGGATGTAGATACATTCAAACCACATTCAACTCAACTTCCTCTTGGTGTATTTTTCTGTGTAATGAGGAATGACTGATGCAGCAGTGATGTGTATAGCAAGTGTCATTCAAAGCGACACTCAGCGGTTTGTGTCTGTATTTAGAATGTATTTAATCAGTGCTGGAATGGAGCAAAGTGTATTTATTCAAGTGCTGAACTGCAGGCAATTTTGAGGTACATATTACCACAATATGCAATTAAATAAGTACTAGCATGAAGATCTCGGAATAAAAGTACTAAGCCTATAATTACAACATAGTGTATTAGTTGATTAGTTTGAATCTGCTAGTATCTATAGTTGCCAAATAAATGCAGAGAAGTTAAATGTGTTATATACATCCCTCTGAAATGGAAAAAAATCTTGAATTAGTACTCACTCCACCACTGGGCTAACAGCATTTAGCTGGAATTTGATACAGACACTATTTATTCCTAATCACATTGTGTATCAATTATTCTAACATGAGATTATATTATTTTCAAATGAAATCCAATATAGAAGTTTATAATCTAACATACTGCAGTGGGAATCATTTACAAGCACGATTTGTCAATGTCACCAGTTGACTATCAACATCTGTTATGTATCAGTCAATCACAGACATGAGATTCATTTATTTTCTAAATAAAACCTTCTCAAGAAGTGTATATTGATACATAGTGCAGTGGGAAATTTACAAGCACGATTTATTCTTATCACCAGTTGACCAAATCAACATCTGTTAAGTATCAATCAATTTTGACAGTTGTGGAATCCATTTATTTTCAAAATAAGACATGTCGAGAAATGTATATTATATATTACTATTCTAACACTGCATAGGGGATTCATTTATGATCGATTGACAGACTTTACACCAGAAGAAAAACTAGTTTTCCCATTTACACATGCTAATAAACCGCTCCATAAAAATATCCAACAGCTGCAAACTTATCCTGCAAAAAGTTTTCACGCTTTGATTGCATAACTTTCTGAGAGTACCGAGCATGCAGATGAGTGCTGATGAAGTGAACTTACATATAGATGTGAGAACAGGGAGTCGTAGAAGTACACGGGTCTGGGCAGGGACAGCACTCTGGAGGTTTCATCGTCGCCCTCTGCCAGGATCTGGTCTCCGCTCAGAGAGCCGTACGGGAACATGTCAGTCCTCTGGATGGCCGTCACCACACACACCGTGCCGCTCCAGCACAGCACACACACCGCCAGCATTGCCCCTCTCTCCATTGTAGAGCCGGGCTGACACTGTGAGAGGTTCCGATGGACTGAGAGAGACCAGCAGAAAGAGGGAGATCTCTCCTCCTCTCCGCTGAGCCTCGGCAGGGAGGAGGAGGGAGGAGCTTAGGCGCGCTCTGATTGGTCGGGCTCGGGTTGAGTGACAGCATGCACGCAACATCTGGCTCGTATTAGAGAAAAGACAAATAGAGCGTTTTTAATCCGGATGTAACTCTATCTGTTTCACAACAATGAAAAAGAGACATTGTTTAATTTTTACGCACAGGTGGGAATTTCCGTGAAAGACATTTATCAAAATAAAAGTGAAAGTGGAAACGCCTGGGCACTTTATATTTTCCTTAACACAGATACATATCAAGAATAATATTTTAATCACCAAAGATTAGGCTTTTTCTTTTAGCACTTTACATTTAAAACTCACTTTTAATTAAATCGATTTTTCTCTCATTAAAGGCAATGGCTGCAAGTTTCTAATACTTAAACTTGGGCGCCATCTACTGGCCGAAACAGCATATAGCAGCATGCAAGACGTACAGGGTTAAAACTAAAGCTTAAAATGTATTATTTAAATAAACGTTTTAATAATATTAATATTAAACTAGTATTCCAGTCATATTTAAAGCTACAAAATAATAATGTTCTGCTTGCAGTGCATTCAAGGTGAGGATTTGCTGCTTTTCTCTCTGTTTTGTATCAATGTAAAATGAACTTCTTTTGGTTTTGGTCTGTTTGTAAGAGAAAACTAAAACGTACAATCATTTTTCTTTGTAATTATAAACATATGTTCAAAGGAATTAAAAAATATGGTAGCACAACACTCTATCTATTCATTTGGATAAAGAAAAGCGTCCAAAATATAATTACACAGGGTAAAAAAAAAGAACTGTCCAAAACCCCAGGAAGAGCATCAGAGGAGGGATCCTTTTATCAGGATAGACAGACCGTTGGTAAAATGAGAAGAGGACATTGAGCAACTTCCAGGTGCTGTAGAAACAGGAAGATCCTGAGCCACACAACCTCCTCTCCACCACAACGACCTGTGGAGATAGATACACAAACACAGGAGGCAATGCTAAAGTACACATTCAAACAGAGGGAGCAGAGATAAGAGGAGAGCCTTGTGAAAGACAGGACGCCTGGACTGGGGGAGGTACATCCAGGGAAGAAGGGTCCGAGGAGAGAAAAGCCTCCTACAGGGGACAAGGGGGGAGAGAACAAACACTAATTCAGGGAACTTGAATTTGAAACTGTTGAGCATGCTGCAGAGCAGACTGAGGGCAGATGGATATAGCCCAGGCCAGGCCGAGCATTAAATCATGTCTGCCAGGAATCTCTTTTTTAAATGTAACATACTGTTAAAACTATACGCACAACTCCTATTTCATTCAAATACAATGACTTCTTGCATGCTAAATGGTGTTTATTAGAAATAATAACATCTTTGGCAATGGTTCTACACATAATAACCCAAAGAAAATACACATTATTTGCTAAGTTAGACAAACATTTTGAAAGGTATTGAGACTTTCCTAGGACCTAACTCTCAGGTTAGCCACACTTTAAGATACCTTCTAATGTTCATGAATCAATAACAGCTGATGCTTGCACTTACCCAGAGCAACCTGTAGGTGGAGCCAAAGGTCAGCTTGAGATCAAATATATCTTACTATATTAATTTAGCAGGTGAAAACCGAAATGTATTGTTTTGAATATGTGAAACGTGTTAACAGTCAGTCTACCATTTTTACCATTCAGTAGAATACACAGACTGATCTGCTCATGTTTACATGTGGATAGTAGTATGAATACACAATTTATCAAATTTCACCCACACAGTTTGAGAAGTTTAGGAATGGTGTTGATGTTTATTCTCTGGTAATGTTTTTCTGGGTTTCAGTGTGTAGTTACAGGCTGACCGGCTTCATTTGTGACATAATTAAGACAAGGGCCATCAGCAGGACAGACACAACGCGATGTATCATGTTGAGTAAAGGAGTGATGAGAGGAATTAAGCCTCGCTGTGGGACCCTGTATGTTTGTGTGTGTGTGTGTGTGAGCCAACAAAGGCTGTTTACCAGCAGAGCAGACCAGGATTTGAGGATTAAGACCTTGATAAATAATTGAATTGCTTCTAAATAAAGAACACAGACTCAGACAGGATCACTTAAGATTCCCAGTAGAGTATTTCCATAATCACCTGCATCCATATTGACTCAAGGGTGGATCAGGAAGTCTCAAAAATCTGGACTGTTAGCAGAATTCTAAGGGTGTGGATTTAGTATTCACGAGTCAACTGGTTTTCTGATTCTGTTTAAAGTTATCTTCTAGAACACTTTTGATTAAAAGCCAATTTTCTGACAAATAATGTTGCATTAGTGATTTAATAAATTCACGACGAAAATCATGGAAACAATTGGTTCACTATAGACACATTGCTTTGATAGGAAAGGAAAAGAGTACACACGTAAAGATATTAAAGAAACAAATCTAAGAGAAAAAAAGGGAGGTAAGTTAAATTGATAGTGAGGTAAGAAAGGAAGAGACGAGGAAAAAAGAAAATGGAAGGGATGTCAAATAGGAAAGAAAATATATTAAATGAAAGAAAGAAAAAGGAAAGAAAGGACAAGAAAAAAATGGTAAAAATGAATTTCATAGAAAAAAGAAAGGAATGCAAAAGTGGAGAGGACTTGATATTAACATAAAATGAAAGTAGAGAAAAACGAAAATGGAAGGAAAAGGGAGCAGAGGAAAGGAAGGGGAGAAGGAAGGAAAAGGGAAGTTAACTAATTGGATTTTTTTTTTAAAGGAAAGAAGAAAGGAAACAAGGGTAAATTAAGGCAAAGGAGATGGAAGGTATGTTGTCGTCAGCGAGGGCAGAGGACAAGGTAAAAGAGGCCTCTGCCGGGTGAGGAAACAAAAATAGAGCACTGGTAACAGGAGGCAGAGAGACGGGTGAAGGGAGAGATCGACATAGAAGAACAAAGAAAGAGAAGCAACAGGAAGATAAAAAGGTATGGGAGGCAGGAAGGACGAAAAAGGATTCCTGTGGGGACGAGAGCTGTCGAAACTAGAAATAAACTTGTCAGGCAGTAAAATGTACTGTATATGAATTACTGCGTGTTTGTGTCGTGCAATGGATACCTCAACAACCGAAGCACTGCCATGATAGAAAGACGTGAGGAAGCAATGATGGCATGATGGCAGTATGTCACAGTTAAGAGTGCGTTAATGGGTCTGAAACAGCACTCAAGAGCTTTCAGCATACATCATGGCTCTTTATATGGCCTTTTTGGACTTTTCTATTGAAGAAATGGGTGAAATAAGGCAATTACAAGGTCATTTAATCGCATTTACTGTAGTTGCAGTATGCCTTTACGGTTGATGTTATCCCCCAAGATGAAGCCTGGCACAAGCCTGCGAAGAAGAGAAAAACACAAAATTGTTATACTGGTTAAACACGGAGACAGTCCAGTGTGTCAATGGAGCATGAAGTACACATATAGAAAAACAAACGCTTTGATCCCAATGGGAAATGAAAGCCTCATATATGTGCATGTGGGAGGAAACCCAGGAAAATAGGCAATCTCCACATGAAGACACACAGGAAAACAAACATCTTTCATGCTGGGTCCTTTGAATTCTATAGTCATAGGGGAGGAAAACAGGACTTATGTCAACATACAGTTTGTCCACCCTCACATACAAGACATTCCCAAGATATCATATATTGTTGTTATTATTTTAATATTAACAGCCCAGGACATCTGCACAGAGCCATACATTTGGGAGACAGATTCCCTGTTAATAATTTAATATAGATGTTGTTATTATCCAAAACAAACGAAGTTATAAATATGTAAATGACTATTGTACAGTATACTTCCTACAACTGTAGTTTTTCTATAGTTTTGAGGTTGCTGCCAATGTGGAGTTTTCTTGTGTCTATCAGGATTACGGGGCAAAATATTAACATTGTGTTTTGCAATAACGAGGCGATTAATGATTCATTCGTTTTAAAACAGGAAATGAACTGTCAACAGTGTGGATGGTTAATACTAATAAGTAATTGATAGGCAAAAAAGACAATACAAATATAGTCTTCCAGTAAGCAGATATGCTGATTATTGTTTCCTATCATCTTGAATATAATATTCAGGATTTGCAACTGTTGATTTGATGACAGCATCCTGGGCTTCTCTCAATTTCAATCTTTTACTATTTTACTACATTCTATTGACTAAATCCTTAATTGATTAATACAAAGAAACAATACTATTTTTGAATTTTTAATATATTATGACATTTGACTACAGGTTGCGCTTTTGTTATTATCTAGTATATTTTGAAGGAGAGGCTTGAATCTTGGGGTGGGTGTACCCTTCCCTGTGACGTCACCGCCTCGCTCCCTGTAACCCGGGCCATTCATCCCTACCGCAGCACAGTGCCGAGCGCGCCTCGCCCTCTGCACAGCTCACCTTTAAACCAGAGCTTCTTTAAGTGGAACAAAGCCGGACACATTGGGATACATTTTATCAGCCGTGCGACTAAAGCTGGATTAACACACTGACTTTAAAGTCTACACTACGGGGAGAAGGTTGTAAAATAGGTAAGAACTTTATTATTTGGATGCGTTTCACCGCTGTTAAATCCACGCGGATGTGACAGCGGCTCTACTGCGAAACTCGCAAATGAAAAACGCTCATTCTGTCAGAGCTGAACTTAAGTCATTTTGTAAGTCTGTAGTCAATCTTACACTCGTTTGCCTGTCGTTACTCTTTCACGCTCCATTCAAATATGCATTTAACGTATTTTCTCTACTGATTTTACAGTATCATTCGTGCCCTCAACTTCTCCAAAACGCGGACCCAACACCTGGACACACCTGTCTCCTCCGCTGTGTGGCACACATCTAACATCTCCACGGTTGTTGGTGTCTTTTCTCACCGATTCAGTGAGCCCTACACTACAGCTTCAGAGTGGACACTGGACAGAGCAAGTAGGTGAGTTACTTATCCTTCCAAAAAAGTCAGTAAATGATGTGCAAATGGTGATTTTAAGGGTCCTTTAAATTCTGAAATCAAAGCCTTATAAAGTAAATGTGTCTTATGTCATTTAATGTTTTACATCGTAGGAGACAGTGCATCTGTCTCAGCATCACATGTGAGACAATGCGTTTTATTCTTTTATTTGTTATTCATTCCGTTGCTATGTTTTTTGTGTCCTTATTCGATTGTGGTCACTGGGTCTGATGTTGGTTATGATCTGTCTCTGCTTTTTATCCATTAATCATATTATATATACATGAATTTAGAATGGATAAAGGTTTCCACATTTATTCCTGAGAGAGCTTGTCATGCAACATTTCTCAAGATTAAGCACACTGGGAATAAGAGCATGAAATTGTGTGTGAAAACTTGGCCAGCAGACCGTTCAGCCTGTCAGCTGATATCTGAATAAGTGGTGAGACAGAAGAGGAACAATGTTGGGTTTCACATCTCATACGGCAGCTCAGTTCGTGCCCTGAGTCTTTCAGTATATGCAACGTTTTTCTTTTTATGAGAGGTCGAAGATGTTCTGCCTTCTCTGTGTATGCATGGGATCAGTTCACTTAGACAAAGACTTGCAAACATGGAATTAGAGTGGCGTGTGTAGTGGACTTTGTTGACATTGAGTCCAAACAGAGTCTAAACGTAAGGGAGACGAGACAACATCCTTGACAAATCTCCTCAGGCCAATGCCAGTTAGGGTTCATTTGAAACTACTTGAACATAGCACTCATATGAAGCCTTCTCTAAATTTGACTCACAATCTAATCTATGTTTTTTTTGATGAATCGACAGATGTGGCCAACAGATGTTTGGTTAGCTTTGGTTTCAAAATTGGCCTCAAATTAGGAAGCAGTAACAATGTCATAACAAATCTGAAACTTGCTATCACTTGTGATATGTTTTCACTTTAGGTTTCTCTTAGAGCTGCAACTAAATTAAATGTAGGAGTTGACAATTAATCTTCTGTGGGTAAAGGAAATGAAGAAGAGACTGATTTTAAAAGCTGTAAATCTAAATAAATGTTCCTTTTTTTCCTTTCTGTATCAGGATGGCTGCAGACAACTTTTTAAGGACACATTTCTGACGCCCTGGGGCAAGTTTTTCTGATTGAAATCTAGCTCGTATTCAGCCACGATGACTACAGATTACGATCTGTGCCACATCCAGCACCACATCGACGGCATCAAGAGCCCGCTGATCAGCGCCACCATGTTCGCCGCGGGCATCTTCGGAAACGTGGCTGCCCTGGTGATACTGGAGATCCGAAGACGCAGGGCCATGAGGTCCGGGGAGGGTTGGCGGCGCTCGTTGTTTCACGTCCTCATCACGGCGCTGGTGGTCACGGACCTGGCGGGGACCTGCCTCATCAGCCCGCTGGTGCAGCTGTCGTATGCGCGCAACACCACCCTGATAGGGATGTCGCCTGAGTCTCACAGCGTGTGCTCGTACTTTGGAATCAGCATGACCTTCTTCAGCCTGGCCACCATGTCGCTCCTCTTCTCTATGGCTCTAGAAAGGTGCTTCGCTATTGGGTACCCCTTCCTGTACAGCCGGCACGTCACCAAGAAATGTGCCTACATATCAATCCCAGTGGTGTTTTTGCTATGTATTTTATTCTGCCTCCTCCCTTTCGCTGGGTTCGGTAGTTATGTACAATACTGCCCCGGCACGTGGTGCTTCATCGACATGAACCCTTCCAAACCGAAGGACCGGGTCTATGCTAGCCTGTACGCCACCCTGATGCTGGTGCTGGTGCTAGCTATAGTGGCATGCAATGGGTTCGTGGTGTACCAGCTGTTCAGGATGTACCAGCGGAGGAGAAGGAATGGAGGGTCTGTGATGGGCACCACAAGATCCAACGGCGAACGCAAGGCCATGTCCATGGCGGAGGAGGTGGAGCATCTCATCCTGCTGGTCTTCATGACCATCATCTTCATCATCTGCACGCTGCCCCTGGTGGTAAGATGACAGCACATGCATGCTTTTACCCGTTCATTAGAAATACACCCTTATGTCCAGTTTGACTGCTGACAGCTGACCTTTGTTTCTTCATGTATGGCTAAATTGAATCTACTAAGGACTCATTGAAAGCAACAGCACTTCATTGACTTAATTGGTGTTAATTAGGGGTCAGATAAGGAGTTGAGGCAGATATTGATTATTCAGACTAGGGTCTTACCTGACATTGATACACAGGGGTCACCACATCTAGAAAGTCTTTCTTTTGTATTTTAAACAATGCTTTATTTAAGAAGACACAGCACTGTTTTTTTCTGATTCAAAACCCCCTTAAACCCAGCCCGCAGGCCCATCCCTACAGGGGACAGAATGATAGTTTTGTAGTATAAATAACAAAAATAAGTGAATGGATAAAATAGCAATGAACTTGGCATAAAGAAGAGACGAAGAACTTAAATAGAGAATATATGAAAATGTAATTACATTACGGTACATTCATATATTGCTTGTTCTTGTATGAGGTATCTTGAAATTGGGTCATTTTCTTGAACCCAAAAAAGATAAAAGCATATTCAAAATGAAGAACACATGTAAATAAATAATAGTAAGGAAAATGAGTATGCATGATATTTGTGTGTGGAATCAGAAACATATCATAGACAATACTGAGTGGAGCATCTCCTGTTAGGATGTATCCATTACAGAGTGAAATGTAGCTACTATACTGTAAGTGATATTAATTGTGTTACAACACATTTACGGGCTTTCAAACATAACAACTAACAAAGTATATCAACATATCACCCAGAGCATATACATTTAGCTGTATATGTAATGCAATCTGATATATATCTTTGTATGACTGTCTGCATATTGTGGCATTCTGTGGACCTGCAGCTATTCATACATAATACAATAGACTATGGGCTGTTCTGATGCCAAGTAATAGACAGGAAACAAAGTAGCAGTGCCTTTGTATCTACTTATTTTGATGCCTGGTATAAATGTTTACATGCTTTAATGTTCAAAAAGCTCTTTATTTTGCTCATACTGTCTGTGCTGCAGCACCTCTTTTCACCCTCTGTCTGAAACCAGAGCCCAGTCTGCTCTGATTGGTTAGCTGACCAGCTCTGTTGTGATTGATCCAGAATGTAATCAGCTATGTTATCAGGATGACATTTGGACAGAGGCCGTAATTAGAAGATAATACAAGACCACCTTTTCAGAGGTCCTTAAGCTTCTACTTGTCCTCCATCCTGCAGGGTTACTGTATAATATGATCCTGAGCCAATAGGATAAATACATACTGTAGGGAAGGACTGCGATTAGCTAATGGCAGTGCTGGCAGACCACTTTGTGGGGTAGTTTAAGTGAACTTTGACATATTTCTAATTGAATTGGCTAGTGAAAAACACACAACAGAAGCTAGGAAGTAGATTTTGGAGACTAAAACAGTAAGGATGGGTGGACATAAGTACAAATTAAACCCACAGCTGACCTATCATCCAGTAATTTGTCTCTGTAAGACTCCTGGGCAATCTGTTAGCACCTCTGGTATGAAAGTGTCACTTTGGATTTCAAAGGTTAAATCAATAACTTCCCTAGCCGTGTATATTGTTGTGCACTTCATCACAGACAGCACTAATGAAAGTGCCGTGGCTTGCATGTCCGCTATGATTGACAGCTCCTGCATCACGCTTCATATAATAGCATCCACAACTTCACAAACACACACACCACACTAATTCATTAGAGTTTATCTAAGTAAATTAAGTGTGTGCAAATATTTGTATGACTTTTTGCTGAGTGTTACAGCTATTTCACCTCACACTAAGCCACTGAACCTTACGTATAAGCAAAGCAAACAGTAGCTGATTATGCCTCTTAAAGGACTGATATGGCATCATAAGGCAGCTACTGGCTTCAGGTGCTTTTTTGTGGGCCGATTTTAATCATCTCTAATTCTTAGAAAATGTATCACATGAATCAGTGCTGAATGATGCCATTAACTTTTATTCCACTGCCTACTATTATGGTAAATAAAATGTATTTGACACGCTATTGCTGCCTGAAGTGAAAAGTATAAAAACGTCCAAACTATCCACAAGGCGATAGCAGCAAACTGACAGAGATGAGTACAGTGTACGCCTCAAGATGATCTTGTGAGAAGCATTTGTGTCCGTTTGAAAGTGGTGGCTTATTATAATTGCCCTCCTCTGTGCACTGTGTATCAGGTGCAGACTTCTGCAGGCAGGTAAAGGACACAGTAGGTATCACCTTACTTCATTAGCTGTCTTCACTGCCTCATCAGGAGTAAAACAGATGACTCTGTACAGTGAGGTGAAACAAGGACACACAGGAAGGAGACAGGAGGCCCTAAATTGAAAGGCTTAAACATAGGTCAAACTGATTTCAATTTTTCTAAGAAATCACTAAAACCATCTTTATTTTTAGTTTTGACCCGTGTTCTTATTTGGTCTTAATTGCAGTTGACGGCATCCCTACATTAGTGGAGACATGCATTTTAGTTTTTATATCTCTTAAACTCATCATCCACATAGGCTAGGATTCATTTCAGTCCTACTGTTAGCCACAGCCAACAACACAGTGTGGACATAGTAGTGAAACTATGTGGAAAAAACATCTTATTATAAAGCGTGCCTGCCAGCAACACCAGGATTTGAAATAGTTTTTTTCTCGGAAAATGACCCACCTTTCCCCATGATCATTTTGTTCACCTACAATAGCCCTTATACATTGATATTTAAAAACACGCTCAGAAGCTTTACACTGTTTCCAGTGTATGCTCAAAAACAGTGTGATCCTCTTTTTTTACCAGGGAATATCAGACATCATTTCATATTGAATCAGCATGTGGTGTTGTCTTGTCTGGAGGGAGTTACACTTACATAACTGCGTGACATCAACATGAAATTGAAATAACTTTGCTTTTGTTTCCTTATTTGTTAAAATCCCTGTTGATTTAAACTTTGGCAGTAGTGAAAATGTCTCAATGAGTTCTACATTTGCCAGAGACTCCCAGATCCTTTCCTTTATCTTTCCACCCACTGATGACCAGTCAGCACATAGGTCCTTTTACTCATTAGGCTGTTGATGTGCATCTTGTCTGTGTCCAGCTAATAGCCTGTCTATCAGATACCCAGTGACAGTAAGCAGACCTTTCACCACTACTGGGAAACGTCGTCATGACATTAACGTCATTCATATATGAATCATTCCTCCTATGGGAATCCTGTGTCGCACATACTGGGAAATCACTTACTTGCGCCAGTCACATTCGGCTCTCCTCTCCTCATATATCCACAGAATGGCCGCATTAACTTATTGGAAGACATTTCCATCTGCGGGAAGATGAAGAAAACCTTTTACCATATTTCACTCAAAGAGCACACTTAGTGATTATGCTGATGGTGCTGCGGTCTCATATTTGAATAAACGTTGTTTAGAGTCCTTATCTATGCAGCATGTTCATTTAGTAAGGTATAGCCCAATTTAGAGTTACATTGCCAAAAGGGTGGGACCGACTCATGATGGCCAGGCCACTACCACGTTTTAGTCTGACTTTGTTGCTGTCCGTGTTTGCAGTGTGCAGTCATGAAAGATAATGTTAACTTTATGATGGTTTTATTAGTTTGACTGTACTTAGCTCCACTGACTTGTGCCACTGCTGGTTCCAATAAAACAAGATGGCAACTGCCAAAGATTTTGAAGGTGTTTCATATCCGCTTTGTGGTCACACACTTTCAATGGCTACACATTCAATCATACTAAGAAAGAGTATGAATGCATTATTTATTACGAACCTTATATAAACATTCATTGGTTTCCAACCAGCAATGTGATACCGTAGAGTTCACACACGCACGCACGCACGCACACACACACACACACACACACACACACACACACACACACACACACACACACACACACACACACACACACACACACACACACACACACACACACACACACACACACACACACACACACACACACACACACACACACACACACACACACACACACACACACACACACACACACACACACACACACACACACGTTCTGTGCCTTCTCAAGTTTAAACTGGGAGCTGGTAGTGTGTGTGTGTGTGTGTGTGTGTGTGTGTGTGTGTGTGTGTGTGTGTGTGTGTGTGTGTGTGTGTGTGTGTGTGTGTGGGAATGCATTAAAAATTGAAAAGGCCAAACAATAGCTTCTTTGGCACAGAAGAAAACACACATTGAACCAGGAAGAGAGTGGAAAAATGAAATTGGAAATACAGTAATGGAATTTGAATGTTGCAGTTAAATCCCAAAACAATTTTGGGGGCATTTTGGCCTTTATAAGAAGAATAACTAAGGTCATAGACACTAGGACATGTTAGGCATATTTGACAAACCCTCAATAAGTTGTTAAGTTAAACCTCCTACCAGTTTTATGAGTTTAAGGCATGTGGGTTCAATTATGCATCTTTGAAATGGAATATTTTAAATACTCTCACATTGTGGAAAACTTAATGAAAAACAGGCGCAAGCAGAGATTTAGAGAGATTGTCACCTCTGACTGGCATAATTGCTCAGCACACAGATCACTTTCACATTGCAGTTTGTGAGTTTTTTTTCCTAGAGGATCAACCCTGACAGACACTTTACATTACATGTCACTTGTTAGACGCTTTTATCCAAAGCGACTTACATACTCAATACTGTGGGCAATCCCCACAGGAGCAATTTGGGGTGAAGTGTCTCAGGGACACAACAACATGCTGACTGCAGTGGGGTTTGAACCTGTGACCCCCTGATCCCAACACCAACGCACAATCCACTGCACCACACGCCTCCCACTTCACATTAACACTTGTGTTACGCTTCCTGCTGCTGAGAGACGAGAAGAAAATGTGTTTCACAGTGTGAGTTGCATTTCACGGTAGAGCCTGGCAAAACAAAAAAGATCTGTCTCCACACGCACACTTGATCCAACGCCTGGCCAGTCAATCACAGTCATGATCTCATGCAGAACAAAAGTGAGATTAGCATGAAGCTGTTCAACACTTAAAGAAACAAAACAACATTGCACACCTCAGTAGTTTGATAAGTAGAGTGTTTTTGTATATTTTAACTATATGCAGATGAGATAATTTTATCTTGAACCACTTCCCAGATGAGGTTGCAGAAGTAACTTTCTAAGTATTTTCCCTCGCACAGCTAACAGCTGCTGGTGTTCCCTTAAGCAAGACTCTTAAGTGCCATTCTCAGCTTCCCGGAAACAATTGAGCCACCGCGTTGTGAGACGGAGCAACAGGAAGCTAGCTTTATATCATTGGCACAAAAACGTTGGGGCAACCAACTACTGCTTCTCACGAAATGAGGTGCTTTTATTTTCAAGTCAACTAAGAATAAAATGATTTAATGGAAGAGAGATGAGTGTGAGGATAGATGGTGCAGACTTAAGAGAAAAAGGTGGGTGGAAAGCAGAGATTAAGATAGAAAGTGAATGGAAAATGCCACGTAATGGAACTAGAAGGGCCAAATGCCAGTGGTGGAAAGTTACTGAGTACATTACTCAAGATACATTTTGAAGCACTTGTCATTTAACTGAGTATTTCTACTTAATGTTTATTTATGCGTCTTCTCGTTATATTTTACATATACTAAACATTTATTTTTACATATATATTATATTGATTTTTGCTTGTAAAGGAGTATTTGGACATTAATATAATTAATGGCATCAAATAATGCATTAATTGACTTTACAACCTGTTGTTAGGTCACCTCACCTTCACATTTCATTGGATATTGTTCCTGTCTGAACCCCAGAGACAGCAGCAGCAGGGATTTTTGAACCTTGGAGCTGGTCATGGCTTCCATGGATTGTAATAATGCGCTGGTTCCCAACCTTGTGGACATCAGCCTTGGGAGTTTTCTGCTACTCACTTCATGAGCTCACATTTGAACCAAAGACAGGAAACAATGAATGAAATCAGCTGCTCATTCTTGGCCTCTATGGTGCTACTAAAAACAGCCGTATTTAAAAGCTGTATCCATTTAAAAGACCTCTGTAGGAAAGAGTTTCCAAGGAGAAGAGTCACAATTTAGTCAACATTTGGTAGAAATACAAAATGAAATGACTATTTGTCATGAACAAAATCATTCAAAATGATTAAGCATGTCACTGTGCAAACTAACTATAGATATAAACATGGGAATTTAAATTTGGATCCGCCACAACATTCAACATCTGCCGCTCATCCTCTCCTTAAACCTCTCATTACACACATGTTCACACACTCGATGATTTATAAGCTATCTGTGTTTGACCTTCTAAAAGCAAACACAATCCTGAGAGTAATTTAAATATCGTCTTGGCATTAGGACAGCAGTCTATTCTCTGCAAACATCCTGTTCTAGGATAAGTGATCATGCTTACTGCGTAGAAGAGGATACAAATAGTGAACATGCCAAATCGACTTTTTACTACAATATTTATTATGCAACAGTTAGTTTGAGCAAAGGTTAAAACCCAAACAACATTTGTGTGGTTTGCACATGCTGGTATGTACAAGTTCCCTGATAACTATTTAGCAATACCAGCCAGTCTTTGAACGCTTTGATGATAAATTACAGGGCCGCTAGAAAACCTTATAATTAGACAAAAAAGCCAGTAGATGCACGCTTTCTTTTCGATTTGAAGTAGTTCGGTAGAAAGAAAATAGTCTTTGCATACATGGTCTTTGAACTTAGTTGATTATCGGGACAATGATTTTTGGATAAAGACACCAACTGACATTTTTTGCCATCCGTCACTCTGTTTAGAGTTGACAATAGTTTACCCTAAGGGTTCGTGTCCCTTCGTGTTACGCTTTGTTAAGATTGACCAGTGGTATTTCTCTCAGTATCTAAACATTCAGGACGAGTATTAGCTTTGCCTTTTAAACAGACAAGTGGTTCCAACTTCTATTGTTCAACTGCCATATCACCATGAACTGGTTCTAGTCTTCATGTGTTAATGCTGCTTTAGAGGGTTTAGTGAGAGATTTAGACCAGGATGGTAACTAGGACGTGTCATGGTTACTGTTAGCATTGGGATTATACTTTGGCAGCCAAATTCATTCCCTCTTCTTCCCTCTGTTTTTTTCCATGTCTCAGATCCGGGTGTACATCAACTCCATTGTGACGGACAGAGAGTCTCACCGCCTGGACCTGATCGCCTTGCGCTTCATCTCTGTGAACTCTATCATCGACCCCTGGGTCTTTATCCTCCTCTCCCCCAGCGTTCTGCACTTTTGCTGGTCCTCCATTTGCAGGGCTTCCCTGGGAGTCTCCAGGGGATCCATTTTTAAATCATCCATGGCCAAAGAGAACTCTCCGGCGAACCTCGAACTGTGCCCACCGACGATAGAGTACACCGAGGACTTTCCCTCTGGGGAAACCCTATGACCACAACAGTTCTTTATTATTCCATATGTATACGTATTGGACACATGATAAAGCGAGGAGGTTTCCTGGGCCACAACATCCCTCCCATGTCGGGGGTGTTATCTATTTTATGGATGTGTTTCCGTAAGATAATGGCCCTCACTGTGACTTCTTGCCAGACACTTGGGATTTCCTTCTACTCCTAGCATGTCAGCTAAGTGTATGCATGTTGACTGCATACTGGCTTCTCTAAAGTGTTATAATTCAAGTGCAAAAGCCACTTTAGCTTGTATGTTATGCTAATGAATCAATGGAATGAAGAGGCTGCTGATGGAAGCTAAAAGAGACTTCATTCAGGATGGGGAATCGACAAAGCACTGTGGTCTGTTCATTGGAGGAGCTTGTGGCAGAATGCAACATACATCTTCCAACAAGGACTTGCTGTACATGTATACTTTGATTCAAATGCTGCTTTCCAAACTAACATGTCATTGTATAGAGCACACTCAAAGACAAGAGTCGATATGGGGTGAAAACAAACCAGGATAACAAAAAGTAAGCACATTCAGAACTAAATAAGAAGATACATAAAGAAGAGTTAGCCATTTTGTTATCAAATGTACAGAAGGGAGTCGGTTTGCAACAGGAAAGCATTGTAATGCTTGTGCATCTCACTGAAGCATACCTAGATACAATCTAGACATGAGACATGTTCATACAAGTCTAAATGAGAGCTGATATTAAATATTCCAGGCACGACTTTCTTTGAACCTCAGACTTTAACCCCCGGTTTGCTTTGGTAACCGTGCTCCACTACCAGACTCCTGCTGGAAAGGTCAAAGGTCAACAATCCTGGAGCCGGGTCAAGACTCAGGAAGCTTTGACAGAAAAGTTATGTTGATCATGAATTTATATATACCATAAGTAGCATATACCATTGTATCATACTGATAAATCATCACAAGTTCTTCATATAAGTTACCTTTTGACTTTTACAGATCAGGTTCTCTAAATGTATCATCAAAGGATAAACTATTCCATAAAGTACATTTAGTTGGAAGTTAAAGGTGCCCTGTGTAGTTTTGTTCAGTATTACTCATTGGAACATGTCCCCATATCATCTAATGATGGTATTTTATAAAACACTGGCAATTGGCACTACCATTGGTCAAAAACCACTCTGTTCCTTTTTATGTTTCTGGAGTTTTATAATATATATTTAAAATACTGTTTGAAAGCTAATTATCATTTACTAAATATTATTTTATTGTACAGAATGTGGAGTAGCGAGCCTATAGGTTCCTGATATAAATTGTCTGTTACCCTTTAAAAAGTACCATGTTTTGTTTATTATGGGACAGAACTTCTTGGCAGGTCCTTTGTTCTCTTACATTGTTTAAAAGTTATTTGGAAACTATGAAAAGAGCACCCCTTATTGTTATCCATCAACTTTACGACTGAAGTGCCATTTGAACTGCATTAGTTTTACTGGGGAACATCTTAAAATGTTATTTTCAATGCGTGTTTTTGCAGAGCACCGCCATTCATCAGGGACAGACTATGTCCACTTAAATAGACGCTAATAGCCCAGATGGAAAACGTCATGATTTCTATCTCTGTTGTATCCTTGTGCTGATTGTTCAAACGTGTTTAAATGCCAACTAAAATGCTGGTTCTTCATAGCCACCTATGTTATATTATGACATTATAATGATGTTGGTTCTAACTGACCTGAATTAGAACTAGAAAAGCAGGTTGTTTCTCCACTTTTGTGCAGCGGTAAAAGTAACACATGTTGGATTCACACAGGGTTATGTTACACAACACCATGGGAAATTGTACTATAAAAGAGTGAATCAAATTCAAACTGGGCTCAAGTGTTGACAAGAAAATAAGCTACTACAGATTTTAGCAGGATGTCCACTCATAAATCTCTCGAAAGTAGATACACATTGGGTTACACAACAGCATAGGTCCAGTTTGAATCAAAAACATGTAATCCTGGTGTGTATAATGTGAGAAAAAAAAACTACAAGTTCTCAAACTATATGTATTTTTAAAAGTTGCCAGAACATTAGTGAGCATGAGTTAAACTTTGGGACTGTAAGCCTTTATTTGAGAGTGTCACGGATGTGTGTATTTGAGTGTGTGTGCGTGTGTGTTGTGAGAACGGCTTTTTATTGCCTCTGCTGTTGGTTCTGAGCTCAGCATCAAAATGTTCAGTGTTAACGACAGTGTCTTACTGCTTCCTGTGTGAGTGGGTTTGCTTCTGTGTGTTTTCCTGTTGTATTTTTTGCAAATGTCCCCACATACATGCTTGTGAGTCTATGTGCCTACAATAGGTGCAAGCTTGTGTGTATGTGCATGATTGTGTGTGTGTGTGTGTGTGTGTGTGTGTGTGTGTGTGTGTGTGTGTGTGTGTGTGTGTGTGTGTGTGTGTGTGTGTGTGTGTGTGTGTGTGTGTGTGTGAGACAGACAGCACTGATGTGTCAAACAAGAATGCTACGTACCTACCTACCTGGATGTCTTGTACTCTGTTATTATAAAGTACTGTAAAGGAAACTGACTGCACTGTGTGTATGTGTGTGTTTTATGGCTTGTGTAAATAAACATCTCGTCCACTACATATTCTGTCCGACCTGCTTTGTAACCCCCTGCCACACACACACACACACACACACACACACACACACACACACACACACACACACACACACACACACACACACACACACACACACACACACACACACACACACACACACACACACACACACACACACACACACACACACACACACACACACACACACACACACACACACACACACGATAGGATAGGTTCCAGATGTGGAGATCGAGGCACATCTTTCAGTTGTGTGTTTCTGTGTGTGTTTCTGTACTGTTGTGTGTTTCTGTGTGTGTGTGTGTGTGTCTGTGTGTATGTGTGTGTGTGTGTGTGTGTGTGTGTGTGTGTGCCTTGAGGTATTTTTTCAGGCCACACTGACGTGTTCATAGAACATTTTCTGTGGTGTAGGCTAAGCAGGTCAATGTGCTGAGAGGGTGAGCTCTATGGGGTCCTTAAACAGCAAAGTCATAGCCGATATATGAACATAGGAAGTGAAACAAAAACGTCTCGTGATGGAGATAATTTGTTTTACTCTCAGCCACAGTTTTATGGTCATAAATGTATTTGTTGTTGTGGTGTTTTTTCTTCATTTCAACACTTTAGGATTAGGGCCACATGTGAAAAATTTCACAATTATGAAAATAAAGGCAGAACTCCAATAAAAAGTGTCAAATAAAACTTACTTTAATACAGAATTCTGACTTGATTACATTTTTTCATAAACACTGTTCTGTATGTACTTTATATATCAGACGGATTATTTACTGTAGTTGTTTTTTGCACTATTGGATAGACGCTCACTGCACTTTTATGTCCTAGTACTTGTACTCTGTGTGATTACAATAAAGTTGAATGTAATCTTAAATGATACTTTAAAATGTTGACTTTTTACTTGTTAATGAAACAAAAACATATATATTTCACAACAGTGAAGCAAACAGCATTCTCATGTTAAAACATCAGGGCTGTAAGACATTTTGGCATAGACGTCCCTACGCCTCTTCTCAGAAAAACGTAGCCAAATGAAAACACACACACACACACGCGCACACACACGCGCACACACGCGCACGCACGCACACGCACACACACACACACACACACACACACACACACACACACACACACACACACACACACACACACACACACACACACACACACACACACACACGCACACGCACACATATTACCAGCTCCCAGTTTAAACTTGAGAAGGCACAGAATGTGTGTGTGTGTGTGTGTGTGCGTGTGAACTCTACGGTATCACATTGCTGGTTGGAAACCAATGAATGTTTATATAAGGTTCGTAATAAATAATGCATTCATACTCTTTCTTAGTATGATTGAATGTGTAGCCATTGAAAGTGTGTGACCACAAAGCGGATATGAAACACCTTCAAAATCTTTGGCAGTTGCCATCTTGTTTTTTTGGAACCAGCAGTGGCACAAGTCAGTGGAGCTAAGTACAGTCAAACTAATAAAACCATCATAAAGTTAACATTATCTTTCATGACTGCACACTGCAAACACGGACAGCAACAAAGTCAGACTAAAACGTGGTAGTGGCCTGGCCATCACGAGTCGGTCCCACCCTTTTGGCAATGTAACTCTAAATTGGGCTATACCTTACTAAATGAACAACATGCTGCATACAGTAGATAAGGACTAAAATGTAGTTTGAGACTATAAGCACATTAGAGACATATTTACTGAGGCAATTGGCAAGTGAGAAGTAGGGATATTTTCTCATAGACTTCTATACAATCAGTCTTCTTTTTGCAACCAGTACTTTTGCACTTTGCTGTAGGAAGGTAGGTTTAAGGCACGTCTGAATTTGCTTTTGTCAGACCTGCAGTTTGCTGCTGGACAAATGTCAAGCTACATTTTAAGTCGTCTGTTCTTTGCAAAACATTTTTATGAGGACACTGGACATCCATTAGACTATCCACAATATACACCTAAAAATGAAATGACTCACACATGCTCACTCACACATGCTCCACGGCAGCAGGGGGCGCTACTGAGTCCATTGGGAAGGCGGGAGGTTGAGCAGAGCATGGAACAGCCCTTGCCAGCCTGATGACAGCGGCGATCCAGCGATCTGAATTTAGCGATCACAACGAAAACAGCCAAGACACATATTGAGCCCAGAAAATGAATGTTCTTAGGGCTGTAAATATAATAAGCCTTTGTCTAAAATGGACAACATTGTAACTAAGGAGATTTAAACTATACAGCGATTCTGCACTCGGTCAATCAGCTGCTCTTCATTTTCTTTCCTGCTATATTCAATGAGTGATACAAATATTTGTTACCATACGTTCTGAATAAAACTGATACTGTTGGACTCGGTACTAGTTGACTGCTACCAGAAATAAAAGGAATATGTGCACATACGGGGACTGTCTCAGAGGGTATCTCCTCTTGCACTTGATGTAGCTCTTTTATCTCCTCCTGCACTTTATATATCATAGCTGCTACATTGTACTGCCTTGTGGTAAATGCTTGTATGCTGCACATGCTCTTTCTGCATATCAAGTATTTCTGTTTGCCATGTATATAAATGTTATGTTCATAAATGTTGTATTTTGATGGGACTACGGATGGAAATGAGCTCAAAGCTAAAATCCGGCTCATTTATATTTCAAAGCATTATTTTGTTTAAAATGTTCATTAATGTGCATTGTCCCGGTTCAAATAAACGATTAAAATAAGTGCTTAGTTAGTATATAAGTGCTTTTTTATTATAATCTTTTTATTTCTTTATGTGGAAGGGTTAATCATACTACTATTTGGAAATATGTTTTTGTGTTTTCACATTTACCTCATCGTTTCCTGAGTGCAAAGAGTTGACCGTGATAAATGTTAAGAATACATTTATGTAAATAAGAATCAATAATCGCAGATCTCTCGCTAGCCACAGTAATACATCTTGTCTTGACCTTTGCAGATTGAACTGTCCGATGATCTTAATGCCATGTGTTTTCTCTCCATCCCTCCCTTCTCTCCTCTTGCAACATTTCCTTGTCTCCTGTCCCCCCACCATTAGCCAGTGAATGTGAGATAATCTAATTCACCAACAGTAATGATTCAGGATTGGAGACATTAAATGCCACAGCTCATTGATATGCCAATCTATCTCCCTCTTTCAACAACAGTGCACTAAGAGCCCCTTGGCATTCAGTGTGTGTGTGTGTTAGTGTGAATATTGATCAGTATGCCATCCCTAGCTTCTGGTGCCTGATCATTGTACAGCAGTAGGAAGTACAAGGTGTGTTGAAATAGTTATTAACGTGTATGATTTGGGAATAAAGTATTCTAGTTGAATGATGCAATGGAGACTTCCTGTGTCAGTCATGCGTTCTAGATGAGTCGCAGACTTTCCTCAAAAGTAAGCATTAAAAATGACTTCTTACTTTGATTACATTTTACTTATTGAATGCTTGTTCATCAAGGACTTTCACGTCGTAGCCGTAGCATGCATTTTCTTTCTTTTTTAAGACGGGTTAATCTGACTAATGGTTACGCTTTCATTGTAGGGATTTGGGAAGCAAGCACATTTTTCATATTTCTTAAATGTACATATACTTTGTCAAACATTTGTGTCTCTAATTGTTTATATACATCTTAAATGTTCAATTTGTTATAAAAATCTGTCCGTCGAAACACCCGAAATGCGTGGCTGAGGTGGAAAAGATGATGTATCGATAAAAGTAAAATACAATGGAAACAGATGAAGTGACTTAATGATGACGTACCTCGAACATGTGACTGCAATGTCTTAAAATACTCTCCTCATGCCAAACTGAACAGCTGATCAAAGTCCATATAAAACAGTTCTCCAGCAATAACTCTAAGAGCACATCGCCTCAATCAAACCTCATGGCGTAAAAGGACCAAAGAGTTGAGTCATATTCCATCAAGCAACTCTCAAAAAGTACATGTCATGTGATTTCATGTTGACAAGAATGTCATTTCCCCCTTTAATGACCTGTAATTCCCAATTTATCCTCCTTGATTTTAATCAATTAATGTCCAACCAATAAACAATTACATCCAACCAGACAGCCATAACTGGATTTATTCCATTTAATTGATTAGATGATTAATTAACCCTGTCTGTTTAATTAGATAACGCTGTGTGTAATGTTTAGGTCAGAGGAAGGAAGGAGCTGAGTTCAGTTTGAATGTGACAGATCACAGATAGTGGCACCATAGTAATGGAGGCTGACTCAGGCTCTAGCTTTGGGGACTCATTAAAGATTCAAAGGGATATTTAAAATGAAGTATTAGTATGAAATGCTTAGGGGGGCTCAAGGTTGTGGTTTTAGGGTTTCTAGCCACAAGTTATAATGGTATTTTTTCACAGCATTAATAACCACGGTAGATAATCAAAAAGTGCCTCGTTCCGAGAATCGTAGATGTATTAGTCAAACTGAAACTAGTCGGTTAACACCTTGGTATTCTCATCACAGATTATAAAAAAGTTCTTGATGAATAATAGTTTAAATCTTCATATGTGATTCCTCTCCAGTTATGAGAAAGATATGCTCGGCATTGGAAAAATTAAGTATGTTAAGTCAATGTCTTGCCATACCAGCTAACTGTTAGATTTTGTATCTTTAGGTCGGCTAGAACTTTTGCTAGTTCTCAAACATTTTACTACAGTTTAACAACTTATTTCTAACCATCAGACAAAAAAATAGAGAGTTCCCCTTATCTTCTCTCAACAGTCATCAGCAGATGATCTGGAGGCGACACGAGGTCAAAAAGGGAACTTTGAGCAGGAGTTCACCAGGTCATCATGCAGCTTTAGAGGAAGTCAGAACAAGATGCAGATTAGGGCTGTTTTAGCTGACTCTAGCTACCAGGTTATACATTGTTTTATCAGTGCTAAGTTATAGTCTTTTAATCGTTCACATTTTGAACAAACTGTTTCTTACGTGTGTTATATTAGTGCGAATGTTATGGATCGCAGTTAGAAATGACGCTAA